TCCCAAAGTGACCCCCTGCAGAGATCTGGTTCAATTTGCAGCTTTAGCCTTACCATTTTGCTTCATGTTCAGTGTAATGTGATCTTTCAGCTTCAGACTGCTGCATGCCATGACGTGGCCCGGAGCTGAAAGTGATCCTGATTCGCTCTGTACGCTGCCGCTTGCTGATATGTTTAGCTTCCTGCAGCTGAACTCTTGAGCTGCAGAAACAGGTGCTGCAGTTTATTTATGGAGAAAGGATCAGGGCCTGCACGATATCAGATACAGTCTGCAGGACACACTTTAACTAGAGTCTGATTTAAACCTGACATTATTACTGTACAAAACCACCTTAACTAACAAAGAGTCACGGCCAACACCAAGTCATTGTTTTGACAAGAAGACAAAGACTTTGAGAGATTTAGAAGTAATAAAAACTTAGATCGGAGAGTATCAAGACCAAGTTAACTCCAATACTTTTGGGGATTATGACTAAATCAAAACCAAGACTCCAAGGGATTTTTACCAAATCAAGAACAAGACCAGAACATGGCAAAACCAAGTTAAGAGAGAGACCTGACCAGAAATAAACAGCAGCTGAAATTATTGTAACCATCTTTGAATAGTCCTTTCAGTTTGACTGTACAACCGATCGAATAAAACTTCTTAACACTGACATAGCAGCCATCTTTAAAGTCCCAAACTTTTACAAAAGGCAGATGGAATTATAGTATATTTAAATACAAGCAAGTTTTTGGTTGCATTTGAAGCAGGTGATTTGCATCCAATCAAGGTAGTGATATCAGAAATGAATGCTCAGGCAGTTCAGACCCTGCAGTGGGGGGTCCTGTTAGGCCAAGATCGAGTCCAAGACAAGATTTGGGAGAGACCAAGACTGATCTTTAGCAATACAACACAACCTGATGTCAACACTAAAACCCAGATTGTTGAGTAAAAGTAAAAAAAATGCATTTTATTATTTCTTCAAAGACAATGTAATGATGTATTCTCAGGTTGACACGTTCTGTGTTCTCCTCCCTCAGGGCGACCAGGAGGTGAAATCCGTCGCACCGGGCAATGAACCGGCAGAATCCAGCGGTGCCGGTGGTGCCGGTGCCAGAGCCGAGGTGGAACCAGACAAGTTTGAGCTCCCTCCAGAGTCGGATGAGGAGTACATGGTGGTGGAGGAGGCAGACTCTTCTTCTGCCAGCCGCGTGAAGAAGACGGGGCTGTCCCGCATTGAGAGTTTCAAAGCCACCTTCTCCAAGGAGAACATGAGCAAGACCCGTGAGAACCTGGGCACCAAGGTCAACAGGTTTGGCGAGCGCATCGTGACTGCGAGAGGCGCGAGAAGATCCGCCAATCCGGCGAGAGGTTGAAGGATACCATCTCCAAGAGCGTCCCGGCAAGACTGAAGAAGGAGAGGACTGTGGCGGAGGGCCAGGAGGGAGCCGAGGGAGCCACTGAGGGAGCCTTGCCTGTTGCTCCTCCAAAGGGGCGTAAAGGCAGCCCGGGTGCTGCCAAGGCTGCTGAGGATGAGGGAAGGGGAGGAGTCTGAGGTGCCGATGTACGACATGAAGCAGCTATCGTAAATCACAAGACAGTGAGTGGGAGATTCTGCGCCGTTTTATTTGGACCACTGAGGCCGCACAGAGAGATGGGAAGTGAAATGTTTAGGGTTGCTGCTACAGAGCAGAGCTACAAGAGTGAAAGTGTTGAAGAAGAACATTTGTTTGTTGAAGGAAGTGAGCAGAGGACAGGCCGGTCACAAGTCCAAACTGACTGAACATCAAGACAACAGGAAAAACACTGAGGATATTTCATTATGCAGTTATGTGTGTTCTGGACATTTGTGATCAAATCAGCAACTTATCATGATCTTTTATGGTTTTGTGATCAACAAATACTGACTTTAAAAATCAATGGACAAAGAACTTTTCATATCATCACACGAAGGCCGCTCACTTGTGTTTGCATGCTGAAGACGTAGACATGTTGGATTATAAAGCTCTGACAGGGTTATGTCACATTTGGTTCTGTAAAATGTTTGGAGAAAAAGTGATTGCTGTAAGTGTTCTGTATTCGGTACGGGTGATTAGTTTGACGTCAAAATGTTTGTGCCATTGGGGATCGACTCAACTGATCTGAGAGAATATAAACTAATTTATCTTTGAGGTCAACATTCAGGAGGAGACTTTGTGTTCAGTCGGAGGTCTTTCACCAGTCCAACAGTTGGGATTTACATACCTGACACAAAAAGAGCGATCCTGGTTCGATATCAAACATTATTTGGAACTATGTTGATTCAGGTCCTGGGTTCGATGACGGTAACTTAGCACATGGAGGACCTGTGAACACCTCTACACTGCAAAAACTCGAAATCTGATCAAGTCTATTATTTTTTTCTAAACAAAATCTCATTACACAAAATGTACATAACAAGTCCAGATAAGCATTGTATTTCAAGATATAAGCCAAAAGAAATCGGGCCCATGTTGATTGTTGGAAGGAAAAATGTCTGCCAATGGGGCAAGAAAATGTTACTTGTTGTTTAAGTGTCTTAAAATAATCACATTAAATAATTAAGCTAGTTTGTCTCATTTCAAGACACTCAATTACAAGCAGTTCAGGCCTTATTTTTCCTCTTATATACTGAAATAAAATGTAGCTTGGAATGACTATCTGATTACATTTTTATAGAAATCCAACAACCACTTGTTTTTTGCAGTGTAGACTGTAAATTTGAACTACTTTGATTGTTCTGACAGCTTTGACACGTTCTAAACTGAACAAAACATAAAACGCTTTGTTAGAAATTGTAACAAAAATCAGTAATAAGTTAGCAAAATCTTTGTTATAGTGGCTTAAAATAAAACCACAGGAATATTTGAGAAATAAAACCTTACAACAGTGAAATACCTATATGACAGGATCATGGTTTTAAAGTATTGATTAATATATTATTTAATATATAAATTTCATTTAAGTGTATACAGTTGAAGTTTGTAAGCGAGAATTGTTTGTCAATGCTGCCTTGTAGTTATAGTATTATGAGCATTTGGCTAACGACAGATTCATTTAGTATTAACCATAGACTGTAAAAGAAAAGTGTTAACTTGTAAGAAAGATTGTGGTGTTTTCAAACTATGTCCATTTTTAAAATATTTCTAGATCCATCTGACTCATGAGTACAAACTGTTTCTCCAGTGGATTCTTCAGCCTGCATCAGTGAAACAGTGAACCATGGCTGTAATGTAATCCTTTGGGGCAAATTGGCAAATCAACGTTCCTCCACTTAAAGTTGTTTTTCTCACTGACAGGCTCACATTGTTTTTTTTTGTGTCTGTTAGCATACATCAACAGTAGCAGTTTTTCAGAAAGGGTGCTGGGGCGCCAGCTCTCTCAACATCGAGAGAACAAAGTTTACTTAAACATGTTAAATCGTAATGAATTATTACATTGTGCATGCCAGTCTGTCAGCAGTCATTCGAAATATGTTCCAAATCATACTGGTTCATTTATGTGAGAATACAGATACTTCCTTGTTACACTGGCCAAATGGAAGTGATTGAAAGTCTTTCAAATTTTGTCAGTCAGATGACCTGAAACAATCTATTTTACTTCATGAAATTGATTTTTTCTACAGTGAAATGCAAAATGTTTCTTAAGGTAAATGCAAATTCTGTTAGCCTGTTAATAGCAATTGTCTTTATGAGTTAGCATCAGGCTAATGAACTTAGGTGTACATCCTGGTCCATCTGTAAGATATTGCGCCCGCCCCCTCATTTTTTTTTTGTAAACCAGAAACAGATACATCAGTTCCTATAAACACACCAGACTCCATTGACAAAATCAGTCCTTTTACCTCACAGGATTCACTGGTTTACTGCTGCCTCGATCAATCAGTTATTCGTGTTATTGTTTGACTTTGGTTGTTTTTTTAAGGTTATAAGGTAATATATGAGTTCCAAACAGTAACACAGCAATTCAAAAACGTTGCATTAAAGATCAGAGTCCCTGATTTATTGGAAAGAAAATATACTTATTGTGCCAACAGAGTTTATTGTTCAATTGTGACATTTATTTATTATTTCTCTGTCTGCTTCTCCTGGATTATTTATTTTTAAGTAGTTGTTTATTTTCACGGCAGAGCTGAAACAATAAAGCATTTAACTGTTTCTCATGTAGCTTTTGAACATGTGACCTCTGACGGTTCACTCTGTAAACCAACCTCATAGCTTGGACGTTGTGATGATCCACATTTTCACAGTGTTGTTGGGAGTTTTTAGTGTTTGTTAGTGAGTGACTGCATGGCTGTAGTTTGTCAGAGATGTAACATTACGCAGATTTGTGTTTGATTGTCATGTTGAGAAATAAAAGTTAACTTTTCTGTAACTAGAGAGAAGTATGTTTGTTTAAAGAAAGACACACAACTTCTAAAAGCTTAAAAGAAAGGCTTCAATTCAAGTTACAGTTTTTCTCATAGTTGTTTGGATATAGCTATTTTGAGTAGTGATTTAGTGAGTTTATCCTCATTTAAAAAGAGAATACACTAAAAAAAGAAAAAATCACATTAATTTTGAGCTACACAGCTCTTTAAATACCATCTGCTGCGGACTTTGATGAACACAATGGAAATCATCACACAGGTAGACAGAATTAACCTTTTTCATACTGGTGAGACCTCTTTTTCTGGATTTACATTAATATAGACTACTTCATGAATAAGGTTGTAATATTTCAAGTCCTAACATTGAGACTTAATTCTCATATTACTGCAACTTTGTTCTCATAATATAACCTTTTTTTTACTCATAATATTGCGACATAATTCTTGAATCCTCTATATTTGGTTCCTTTAATGCAGCCCAAATACTACATTGTAGGTTTGAGCTGATAGTGACAGAGAAATCATTACACAATTAAATTACAAAAAATCACAGGACAACTGTTTAAGCTCTACAAATCATTTAGAAAGTAAAGAAAAATGTTTAAATATGTAAAAACAGTTTATCCGATACATTAATGTTTCCTTTTATTTTATATAAATGAATTGAAATTTGTTGAATTTTCACCGGGAACGTATAAAATATGTGCTTTGCTCATAAATAGTTCAATGTGGAAGTAAATTGAACCTCATTGGTCCTTTAGATTCTACTTTTCGACAGCATGATTGTCCCTGGGCCGTAACAATAACATTAAAAGTGGTCACATGGTCACTTGCAGTCGCAGAGCAGAGCGGCTCCTCGCAGCGTCCAGTGCTCGACCGGCTGCACGCTCCTCAGCTGCAGGGAGAAGATGAAGTTCAGGTCGGTGCGACGCGGCTTCTTATAGACCGGACACAAGTACAGGCTGATCGCCCCCCCACCTCCAACACCGCCACCTCCAGGCTGAGGCTTACTGTCGGCCATGTTGGCTGAACTGACGGCGTAGACGTGGACGACGGGGAGGGGCGTGAAGAGGACCTGAGAGGAGACAGCAGAGAGGCTCATGAGTTTTTTGAGAACAATTTTGAATTTCTGATGTTATTTTCTTCTTTATTTATTTGTGTTTTCTTTTTATTTCCTGTCCCCTGTTTAATTATTAAGTTAATCTTCTTCTAAATAGCCTCTAAGAAGGTGGATTTGATTTATTTATGTTATATATTTTTTCACATATTGAAATCACTTTTTGTTTTGTTTCCTTTCTCAAATATTTGATTTTTTATTATTATTGTCAAATATGTAGCAAAGATGTTCAAAGAAATAATGCCACACTTACCTTGGGCGGGGCCTCAGTGAGTTTGGCACTGCGTCGGTCCCATCCCGCCCCGTCCAGAAAGAGGCCGTAGATGTAGACTCCGCCCACGTCCTCTGGGGGTGGAGCAGACACATCCTCTCTCATCATCTTGGTGACATCGTTGCTAAGGGTGACAGTATCCAAGGCCCAGCCCCTGGACAAGTTGGAGCGTGTGGTCTCCTGACGCATGGCGGTCAGAAAACCCTGAGAGAAAAACAACATGAATCTGTGAATACGATTGGACGAGACTGAGGCCGAAAGTTTCCACCTTTGTTACATTCTATATCTAATCAGACCTGGGGGTTAAAAAATCCGGTGAGCCAGAACTGGTTGGGCCGGCCAGCGCTGATCCAGCCGCTAAGCTGCTGGTTCCTCTCCAGCAGCTCGCTGAACCAGAATCCTAACGTGGCTGACGGCCAGCTGAGCCGCAGCCACAGGCGAGGGATCCGAGCGTCGAACATGCAGTCGAGGGCATCGCGCAGGTCCTCTGACATGATGATGGTACCTGCAGACACAGAGGTCCAATAAATACTTAAGAAGCAGTCGACGGTTTTATTTCCCTCGTAAGAACATGAATCTTCTCTTTCGATCATTACGTCAGCAGATTTTTATTTGTAATTATTTATTTCATTTCATTTGGTGAGATAACATCATGAAAAGAAAAAAAGTATAATAACGGAAAGATTCCTGAAACATACATTTTTTTACATTTTAGAAATTTCTGTTGTCGCACTCTGTAAGTCATGCAACACACACATAGGCTGAAATATACACATGCACAAACAGGATCCTATGGACATGCACTAATGGAGCGATGCCAGAGTGAGGGAGCTGCCCACAGCAGGCGCTCCTGAGCTGATGGTGGGGTGGGGAGGGGATCAGTGCCTTGCTCAAGGGCACCTTGGCAGTGCTCAGGAAGTGATCTGGCACCTCTTCAGCTACCAGACCAGCTTCCAGATTTGGTCCGCACCGGGACAGCCCAAACCCCTACAGACTGAGCTACTGCCGCCCAATGTTATACAGAACACATTTGAGGCAAGAACGGAGATAATTAGTGTGTGTGTTTGTGTGTGTGTGTGTGCTGTGACTCACCGTCGATGGCCAGTCTGAGGTCAGTGAGCGTGCTCCGTACACTGCTGATGACACGCTGCATGCGGTCCACTTCCTGTCGCAGGAAGATGTTCATTGGCTGAAGGGGACCCATCTTCTGTAGTTGAGCTTTCACCTGAAAAAAAAAAACACACAGTTATTAATTCCAATGACACACTCCAGTGTGGGGTTCAAGTGTACTAGAACAACCCAGTAATTGTAGGGAAGAAGGAATCGGACCTCAAATCAACCAGATTATCTTGTAGTCTGGGCCAGGCTCTAGTTAGTTAGTTTGCTTTTATCATTTTGTGTCTTTGATGGTTCACAGGGTTGGATCACATTTGTTGCGTCACCTCATGCGCTACGTAGTCAGGTGGTAGCTTCTCCAACATCTCATTCGCTAATCTCAGCACGCTCGCCTCCCTCGTCTCACCGGGCCCGCCCCCGCTGTCTTTGGGTTGTATGCTGATGATGGTGCTGAGCGTCTCATTGGCCAGGTTGGTCTGGTAGGTGATGTCAGCATTGGGGTGGAGCCCAAAAACCTACAAATAAAAAGTCACAGGTTTAATGATAAAGCCTGCTGAACTGTCCGGGTTTTAACATGAGCCTCCTGCTGTGTGACCTCAGGGGAGTCGACCAGGGGCAGGGCCTCAATGTGCTGCAGGACGTCCTGGACTGATTTGGACACGCTCGGGATGGTGTAGCCTTTATAGAAGCAGAACTTGTCGCTGAAGGTGTTCTCGCTGAACCACACACTGGTGAAAGTGTTGAGGAGATGTTTGTCCAAGTCGTCTGTCACCCGGCCGCCGTACTGGACCTCACCTGAGTGTGACATGGAGAGACAGAGTCAGGAAGAGGCTTAAGGAAAAAAACAAAATAAACAGTCTTTAACGGTCACACAAGCTGCAGGTCGAGGTCAACATGTACAATAAACTACACAGACTCTAAAAGGCCCCAGAGCCTCAGTGTCTGTCAGCAGATTTAGCGTGCTAACTTTAATGTCTGGCCTTTGCCACAGAGGATTACTCCTGTATACAGCTGCTGACAGAAGCAACCCTCTGGAGTAATTCAAAAACCTTTTGTGACTCATTAAGAACATAAAACTTATTTTTTGGTTAGAATTCAGAATGGCGTCCATTCAAAGACCGACCCAGCATGTAGCGCAGGCAGCTCCAGTTCACTCCTCTCTTTGAGTCCAGCTCGTCCAGGTGGTTCTGCACAAACTGCATGCTGGAGGTGAAATCGGCCTGGTTGAACTCGTAGGGGATGTTCCAGCCGAGAGGACCGAACTTTCGTCGCTCCTGATGGTGAGGAAAGTTGGAGAAAAAAAAGCATCATTTGATAGGAGGATCATCATGCAGAATACTCAAAAAGACATGAAGCATGTTTTTGTGTTTTTTTAAAACACATTATCAGTTTATAGTGATGCATTGGATTGAATATGTTTTTCTTTGTGTCCACAGACCTGCACAGTGGTGTGTAAGAAGGCCAGAGCGAACAGCAGAGGCTTCCACTGAGGCAGGTTGCTGATGTCTAACTGATCCTGAGTGACGCCGTTAAACGTCCTCTTCAGACCAGCCTTCATCCCTGACCAAAACAGGCAGGGGAAGAAAATGATTAGAAGCATTACATGAATAGTTGGTGAAAGAGAGGAAGCAAAGAGAGGAAGAAAACTAATGTAAAAAAACAAAAAGCTACGATAACACCTACTGTAAAGGAGGCTAAAGGTATAAGGGCATGTGTCCACACACAGCGTTAAAACACCCTCGGCAGCAGGTGTTTCTCATAGTTCAACTTTTCGAACAGTGTGGCGCGTGTAAATGTCAGTACTCTCTCACCGACCGATCAAAATCAAGGAGGGGCGTGATTTCTGATATCAACTTTGTCAACAACAATGGCCGAGGAGATGCCAGTCTGACTTGTCTTTTATCATTTTCTGATCCAGAGCTGCTGCTAAAGCCAGAGCATGACTCCTTTACATTGTTTGCATGCTTCCTTGGTGATATTTCCTTAAATTAAAGCAAATATTAAGCACACAGAGATATCTAAAACACACATAAAGGACATTATCAAGGGAAGCAGAAGTCTGTGGACATAGACCCCAACACATCAAACAAGAATCCAGTCAGTAGGAAGAGGAAAGTTCAAGAAACTGAGCAGTACGGTACGTTTTATACCAGACAGTTTATACCAGACATTAGAGAGGAGATCCTTACCCAGAGGAGGTTCATTGGTGAACTTGATGGAGGACTGGAGGAAGGTGATAGGGAATCTGTAACCAAAAAGTGAATGTATTGATTTGAATCCACAGAAATCCACGTCCAAGTGAGTGACAGAAAGAAAAACAGAAATAGGGCGTGAGGGTGAAAACGGCACGCCATGTCACGTTGTTTGGCATTGCAGCTCTTGTGGCTGTTTGACAATCGAAAAGTAAACAGTGGAATCAAGCTCATTATGTCGCCAAGGCTTGCTTGTTGCGGTTAAGTGAAAAGAGGCCAGTTACATTCTGCTATTTATTTCTGATGTTAATTTGGACATTTTGTATTTTGGCTCATTTGGGACTCCAGACAGCCTCGAGTGGACACTAAGTGAACTGTAGTTTTTAGTACCTCAGCGGTTTTCACTTGCTTTTCAGGCTTTTAATTAACTAGAAATCTTAGTAGGTCTGACTTTGAGCATTGATTGACCCTTCCTACAGCGCCACCCTGAGGACAACTTCTGCATTAGAGATCACTCATGTTTTATTTTGGTTTCAAAGCCCCGTCTGTGTGTTTGGTTACCTTGGGTGAACGTCAGTCGTCAGCCACACCCTGAAGCCTTTGTGCACGCTTTCTGGCGTTGCCGTGGTGACCGTCTCCAATAACTCGTCCAGGAAGTCCAGTCCCAGGTGGCAGTTCTGGAGGAGGAGCCAGCCGCCGTCCATCATACTGTTGGCCAGCAGCCTGCGAGCGTGGACCTCTTGTCCCTGCCCCATAGAAATGGGGCGACATGGTGCTCCCTGCAGGCAGAGAACAGAAGACTGTGTTGCTTTGCATTGATCAGTACCAACCAAAAATATGTTTCTGTTGGTTTTAAACCATGACTCATTGCATTCATTGTAACAATCTGTCCACCTTGTTCTTGGCGAGTCTCTCGATGTTTTCTGTCGGGTCGGAGCCCATCGACAGGAGACACACCATCGGCGTCCTGCTGTCGCTCTCTGCTAACATAGCGTCCAGGTCCAGAACCAAACCTTCAGCATACTGCGGACCCAGAGACTCTGAGATGTAGTGACGCGCCTGGACACACACACACATCATCACACCCACATCATCACACAACACCTGCTCGTCTTCTAATCACTGACTTCAAACCCATCTGCGAAGGTCCAACTGAGCTCACATTTCAGTCCAAACTACTCCCGACATGTTGTTTATATTTTGGTTTAAAGATTTTTTTCAAGAAGGTGATACTTGTTTTGGTTATTTGGCTGAAGCATTTTTTTGTTACAACATCTTATCTTGTATAAAACGTGCTATATACAATACAATATAGTATATTGTATAATATATTTAGTAAAGCAATCCGACCTGAGCAGTGGTTCGGTCCGGACACCAGCTCCTGATGAGAAGAAGTTTCCGGAAGGTGTCAAGCTTTTCCTCGTACCCATCAGGCAGTGGGGTTTCCTCTGGCGTTGGATGGTCAAACCAGGTCCTCCAGGCACGCTCGTTCTGGCTCACCTGGACGCAAAGAAACTCCCATCTTTATTTATTTGTGATATTTATTTTCCTTATGTGCTCTGATTGGTGGAACCTTGAGCACTCATTTGTATTGTACTCTCTAATTCTATACCTGGGTCAGGATCTGTGTGAACGGGGGCAGGCTGGACAGCTGCACCAGATTGAGCCAAGTCTGATCCAGGATCCAGCGCCGAGGTTTGGTTTCTACAGAGTTCAGGTCCAGAGAAGCTCCGCCTACATTAAAGAAAACCGTGTTTTTGTGTCAAACTGCTTTTGTTAAACAAAAAAAAATGTAATAATGGAAAGAGGAGGAGGAGGAAGAGGGGTGCAGGTGTGTTACCTTTGACGAAGGTGAGCACCTCAGGGTGCGAGATGTTTCTGGCCTGCAGGTCGATCTTCAGAGCTAGCAGCAGAGTGAAGAGCAGTTTGTGTTCCTCGTACAGACTCCTGGCTGTGTAACAGAACACCTGACAGAGGGACAAACAGGCGCTCAGTCAGTCAACAGTACGGCCAATCAACAATCGAGTCAGCCAGTCTCAGGTCAGGGTGGAGTCAGAGCAGGGAAGACATTTAATGAGAAAAATCATCCAAATATCTAAAACGTCCAGCTCCTGTTTTTAATTGACCTATGATTTGATTATGCTGGATTATGAACATTACCTGGTATGTGAGAAAGCTGACGATGTTGCTGATGCGTTTGGAGGTGACTTGTGATTTGGCCGAGTGACGCATGGACGAGTCAAAGAGCCCCAGGAACTGCCGCAGAGACGTCTGGTACATGATGTTAACCAGTGACATCTCCACGATCAGGAAGTAGAGGATGCTCCCCCTTGTGGCCACCGGCCGGTACTCCTCCCTGGCTTGGTTGATCTTCACCTCTGTCTCGGCGGCAACAGACAGCTTCTCACTCACCTGGTAAAACAAGGTAGTTACTTTCATCTTTGTCAGGGAAACTTCAGCCACATGCTGTTTATCACTGTGGACACAGAGATGTAAGGTTATCATAAAACAAAAGAGCAGACTCAGACAGAGAGCAGGTACCTCCTGAGCCGTTCTCTTTGTGACCCTCAGAACCTCGATCAGAGACTCGTCCTCCACCAGAGAGCCCTGTGTGCTGGTCAGCCTGAACAGCAGACTGTCCTCCAGCTCCTGCATCTTCCTCTTGTTGGACGTCACCTCCTCTAGGAGCTGCACTCGCTCTGCCTCCAGCTCCTGGTGGGACCAGCAGGGTGGAGGTCAGATTCAAAGTTTGCAGAGGATTATGTTTTAAGATTTGTATCATTAGACTGGCACTGACTCTTCATATATTGGAGACAATGGAGAAAAGCCATAATACTGCCATAATGACCCTAAATCTTATCAAGTCTCACAGTTGAACGCAGTCCATTCCAGCCATATGGGGGTGCTAAATGTCTACTTTTACATCACTTATAACCTATCTTGGTATCAATATCACCTTATTAATACTGTTATTAATACAGTAGTACTTTGAATGAATCTCCTGTGCATGAAGAAATCACCCCAAAGTATTGATATAAGCAGCATATCCATGTTTTAAAAATGTCATTGGCTACAAGAAATGTCTATCATTTTCACAGTTGTGTGCAGTTAGCCATCAGAACAGGAGGAGGCCCCTCCTTTCCACTCAGACACTCATTGGCTCATCTAGGTTTATGGTCTCAATCTCTGGTGTCAAGTCTTCTTTAATACAGCACGATGGTCTTTTGGTAAATAATGGTCCCATTTAAGTGTCAAAGAGACCAGAAAGAGGGAAGGATACTAGCTTACTGCTGTGTGGGTGAGCTGACCTGTTTCTCCAGCAGTATGACTCGGCCCAGCAGCTGGTCCTCCAGGCCGCGCTGAGTGACGGTGAAGTCGACCACGGCCGTCCTGGCGCTGACCTCGGGGCTGTACGCCGGGTTGGCCAGCTTGGTAGTGATGTAGAGAGTGAAACCCTTCATCACATCCACCTCCTTATCTCCCACCTTTACCTGCAGGAGGCGAGGAAGAAATCCCTGATGGTTTGCTTTTGTAAGACTTTGGATTGGTTCATGTTGTGTATGTGTATATGTACGAGTTGCTGTGATATTCAAGTCACTGCTGTCCTACTTTATACGTCGATCCAGACTTGATGTAGTTTTTGTCCAGTATGTTGTCCAGGACGGGGTCCAGTTCCTCTCCTACGTCCTCTAACAGCAGGGGGCGCCCCAGAGACAGACTGTCCTCCAGGTGTGATCGGAAATATTTATGGTTCAGCGACGTCATCTGACACACAGAAGAAGTCAAACAACTGTCAGGAAAAGACTCAAACTGATTCACTTTGTGTGTTTCTGCTTTACTTAAACGTCTCACCAGTAGGGGTTGCAAGAAGATTAAATACACAGGGTCAAGAGGCAACATTCCAGGTGGAAAAATGAAGCCAACATAAAAAGTGCCCAAAACTGCAGTTCCTCCACTGTCCACTAGAGGTGGTCTCTTGCAGCGAGTCAGTCCCCATAGAGCCCCATGTTAAAATGCTGATCTTTAAAGCAGTCCAACAAGTCTCAGCTCCCCTTTTTACAACCAGTCACATTAGAAAATTAGTTTATTTGTATGTTAGCAAAAATTAGCAGCTATCGGTGTCAGTGCTCACCACACCTGGTTCTTTAGCTTGTTCACTGTTTGTCAAATGTTAATTCTTTTTTTTTTAAATCTCTCAGTGATAAAAATATCATCTGATTTTGTGATTTTTACCTGCTGGTCGCTCTGTTACCCGAGAGGTGTGCAAGCGAGCCACCATGAGTTTCTTTAGATTTACTTGCTTTTGTCCAACAATTGGTCATATAAGACTCCTATATGCAAAACTCATAGGCTGAATTAGCCAGTGTGATATCATGGTGACTAAATCCTCTTCAGTCTCTGCTAAGGTTTTTAATTTTTTTTCCCTGGTGTTCCTCACCTGCAGCTGCTGGTCTCTCTCTTTGTTCTGGATCCAGGTCTTGCCCTGGCCCTGGGGGTCTATCAGCAACGGGTAGCGGGACGCCTTCGTCACCACGATGCCGTTCTGGATGGACAGGTCGTCACTGGGCAAACCCTGCAGGTTCCACTCGCTCACTGTGGCGTTGTCCACCAGCAGGCCAATCACGTTCAGGTCCTGCAGCAGAGCAGGAAGTTTAATTTGACCTTGTAAAGTTTTTCAGTGTTTGCACTAAGAAACTCTTTATGCTGAGTTAAAGTAGAGCACAGATGTATTAAATGAACAAATGAAAAGTCTTATTTAACTATTTTTCAGAAGGTTCTATAAAGACTCTCGTTTCATAGGATCTGATCATTTAGGCCTGACAGCACAGCAACAGAAGATTTGTACTTCTTAACTTTACGTCTCGTTTAGTGATAAGAGCTGCATGCTGGAACAATAAAAACACGATGAGGAGCCTCACAGGACTGAAGGGGATCAGCTGCTCCTCCATCTCTCTCTTCCACTGCTCCAGCAGCAGGCTGCGGTACTCCTGGTTAAAAGGCCCGGCATAGGACAGGAAGCCTGCAGACAGGAGGACGTCCCCCACCAGGTGTGAGATCTGGGTCTGAAAGCCGGCGCTGCTGTCAGTCCAACGCACCTGAAAACATGAAACCCAACAGACAGAGAGAGAGAGGGGGGTGATGACTGATGGATGATTGGCTGATACCGTCTCGCCTCTGTAAAGCCTCTGTTACTACCTCTGACGACTGTAGTACAGGACAGAGGGGGGATTACTTCAAAGAAAAACTGTTTGTGATCAGCTTTGGAAATGTGTTGAAGCATCACACACACTAATTATTCAGTTCAGATGAATAAAGAGCAGCCCTGTGTTTGTACTGCACCCTGTGCAGGACAGTTGGACCTTGTGATGAAATGATGATGATCATGAAATGAATATTTCATTATGAGGCAACAGGCCGACCTTCTCTCCTCCCAGCCCGTCGATCAGAGCCGTAGCGTTGCCCATCTTGCGGCGGCAGGCCTGGGCGTCATCCTCCAGGTCCTGCTTCTCCTTCATGGCGGCGTCGTAGAGCGCCTGAAGTTCAGCACAAAATAATTCAGAATGATAATTTATTCAATTCTCCATCCAGCTGTCGTCACTAGCTTATCATTTTTAATGTCTTATGTTGGCTGCTGAACATATTTTCCTCAAAGTAGTATTTGTGTACTTGTATGTGATGTACAGCATGTTATCTGTGTTTTTAAACAGTATTGTATTAATAAAATGAACTGTCTTCCAGACTATGTGTGTGTGTGTCACCTGCACGGCGTCCAGCTCCTGCTGCTTAGCGTCCAGCTGCTCCTGAGCTTTAGCCAGTTCAGTCTGAGCGACCACCAGGCGAGCCTCCTGCAGGGCCAGGTTAGCCTGCACACACACACACACACAAACACACATGTAACAATCTCCGCGTGGTAGATTGAATTCATGGTTACAAACATCGTGCTGTTGCCTGGCAGCAAAATCCCCGGACTCCTTCCGTGCTCCCACCTTCAGCGGCAGCACCTCCTTGTTGATGGAGAAGAAGTCAGCCATGGCCTGAGTCCAGGAGCAGAGTCCCGCCACGTTGCCGCAGGTCCTCTTGGCTGACTCTAGGTTGTAGTCGTCCATGTCCAGGTATGGAGCGATCAGCTCCACCACCTCCTCTGTGATGGAGTCCTGCAGCACAAACAGGACACAAGAATCCAGGAGAGAAGATATTACGTCAGAAGAAGAGCTACAATAACTTCTGGTCGACTTTTCTCATTATTCTTTGGCATTTATAAACCAAATTATGATGTAAAGCCTAAATACACATGGAACGTCGTTTTCTTCATCCTGCAGCAGTGAATCAGGCTTTAATGTCCACAACATCATCCTTGATGGATCAAAGTGTGTCCACTAAAAGGTTTTTTTTCCCTCAGATTGTTAATCTAAGTGCCTGACAACATATTTATTTTTATTATATTTAGTTTGTTTATTTGACATGGACATACAGTAATGTAGAAGTCACAGATGCACTGCTCTTACTGGAACACACAAATCACTTTGAGCAAATTTAATAAAGGTGCAAAGGTTTCTTCATCTTTATTAAATTGGCATTAAGTGACTCGTGAACTCCAGTATTTTCTTTCCTTCTGTCTAAAAGAACATACCCACTGAATTCTATGTTCTGTACGTCTATAGTCCTTCTCCAAGAGCACTGTCCTCTATTTGTGGAGAGGCTGAAAGGCAAGAGTTTCCTTCTACTTTGCTAGTAAAAGGGATGTTGTTTTAACTTACAAACAAATCTATGCTTGTTTATGCACTGTATTTTTTTATTGTACTTTTCTGCCAGGCCTATCAATACACACACACACACACACACACACACACACACACACACACACACACACACACACACACATACATGATATTAATAATAGCTCAGGGTTTTTCCAGCTCTAAAGATACTGATGACTAATGCCAGCTTTACTAATCCACAGCTTAGCAGGCATGCAACACGCACACACATGCACACACAAACACACACACACACGCACACACGCACGCACGCGCACACACACACACACACACACACACACACACACACTCAGGTATAATAAAAGCGAGTGAGGACTGTAGTGTGAAAAGATGAGAAGGGAGTTTTACCCTCACACAAATCTTACACCGTGATTTCCTCTTCAAATAGAGTCAGCTCTGACTACACCTGATGATTAACGGGTTATTACAGTATATCAAACTTTAGACTGTTATTCTAAGTGTCTGACAATTTAACAGAGTAAGATTTTGCTTTAACCACAAACAGCTGTTTCATCACTCTCTATTAGCACACCAGGCTACACACATTTATAAAAGATTTCATCTCACAGGACTCAGGTGTAGTTGATCAACTGCTGCCTTCAAACTGCTTCACCTATTTTTTTATCTGATGTCTGAGTGGACAGAGTTCCTCTCAATTTTCTGGGCTTGTTGAGTTTTTCTGACTTTGTATCATCCGTGTACTTTCAGCTTATGTAGGGCATATATCAGTTCATGTCGGGTTTTGTTTGTGGATGTGTAGTCTTTCTTTCCCCTACAGATATCTTTTGGACCATTGCAGCAGCTATAGAAAAAAAGTCTGAATAATTACGATACATTTGAAAAGTTGTATGTATGAGACCTTGCTGAAGTTGAGCAGCATGCTGAGGAAGGCCGAGTTCTGCATCAGCTTCATGGCCTCGGTCCATGAAGGTTTGGGACAAGCTCTCTCAGGGTCAGGAGTCGCCACGTCGATCTGAGAAAAACCACAACAACAACAAAAGCGTCAGGAAAGCATCCCCGCAACATCTTACTTTGGAGAACGTTTCAAACCAAACACGATGTCGAGACCTTCCTCTGGAACAGCAGCAGCACAGCGTCCATGATCCTCATGATGAGGTGAGGGGGCTTCTGCAGCTTCCTCACGGTGGCGATGTCCGCTGGTTTAATCGTCTAAAGAGAAACAGAAAATAAATAAATCATTCAGTAAATACTTAGTGTCAGTTTGTCGTCAGCAGTGGTTCAGTGTCGATAAGATTTGATTTCACTGTGTTCAACGCCCTCTGCTGGCAGAAGAGAAGCTCAGCAGGCACCTATCACTGAAACTCCCTATGTGTGTGTTTCTGTCAACAACACAGAGGAAGCCTGTGTGTGTGTGTGTGTGTGTGTGTGTGTGTGTGTGTGACCTGCAGTGCAGCCTCAGCAGCCTCCAACGCAGGTTTTGCAGCTTCCAGTTTGGTCTCTGCTGCTGCTTTGTCAGCTTCAATCTCATCGACGATGAGCTGAGCTTTATCCTTCACCTTCTGCACCTGCTGCTTCACCTGAACATGGAGAGAGAGAGAGAGAGAGAGAGAGATAGAGAGAGAGAGCGAGAGAGAGAGAGCATTTAACTTATTTTTCCCCCCTTCTTGTACAAGTGATGTCTCCAGGTGTTGGGTCAGACCTTTTCAGCAGCCTGAGCTTTGGCTGTGACCTCCTGCAGGACTTCATCTGCCCTCCTAGAGGCGACGGCGAGCTCCTGCTCCTTCAGCACCAGCTCCTCAGAGAGCTGAGACACAGACTGCTCAGCCTCCATCAGCTTACACAGACCTGCAGACAACAATCGGCACATTCACGACTGCTCCTCCTCCTGACAACAGATCTAAAGTGCATCATGGGAAGATAAGTGAAAAATGCCTTGACCATACCCGTCTTCATGCGCTCAGCGAGCGTGCCGACGTGAGCGATCTTCTCGGCGTAGATGACCTTGTAGCTGTCGATGAAGGACAGGTAGGATTTTGGCGTCACAAATGTTTGACGCCTGAAACGCTCGAAATACTCGGCACATTTCTCCGCCACCAGGTCCTGATGGGAGGACAAATGTCATGACATCATTCAGCTGATAACCATAGACTTTATAACATATAGACGTAGTCTCAGTGACTTCACCTTTGTAGTTTTGAAGCCACACAATGGCGGTCTCCAAATTGGAAATGCCGATTCTAATGCTGACTAACTTTCGAACAATCTAGTAATAGATGTATGCACAACTCTTAACCTTTATTCACTCAAAACGGATGAGTTGTACAAATTCAGACTAAATTTCTTTTTGTTCTGGGCTATAAACATGTTTCATTCTGCTGTGAAAATGGACATTTTATTATGGGTGTTACAGTAAAAGGGAATCTTTCGCTTTTTGCAGCCAGCCTCAAGTGGACACTTCAGGAACTGCAGATGTTTTGCACTTCTGCATTGGCTTAGTGTTTCAGCACCCGAGTTGGCCTTGTTATGAATTTCATTTCATTTATTTTTATTCATTTTGAACATATTTCAAAAGTAAAAATAAAAATATACACTACAAACAAAGCAAAGAACAATAAGAGCATACTTTCTTATCTTGTCCATGTTTGAAAAGGATGTAGGATTAAGTAAAAAAGAAAGCGTACCCCTGTTTTCTTTTTAGCTTTCTAAGTTTATCCAAAGCCTAAGCTTTACAATAATAAAGTAAAAGAATACAGATAACTAGCTACATAAGAAAAGCAACAAATATAATGTATTACACACATTCATTGGTAGATGGTTCAGACCTTACACTGATATTGATTCCAATTTTCTCATTGACTCTTTAATTATATATCTGTTAAATATGTTATTCTTCAAAATGTGTTTAAACGTTCCTAATGTTTTACATGTATTCATTTAGACACTGCAGCTGTTCCATAAATTAACCCCCTTTGTTGTGATACAATGTATTTTCACGTTGGTTCTTACTGCTTGTTTTTTGAACATAAAATATTCCTCTAAGATTGTGTTTACTTTCCATCTGCTGAAAAAAAAGACCTGTTAAAAGAGGAAGCATTACCTGAAAGGTTCCCATGGTAACCACCACACTCTGCTTTACACCATCCGAGCAGCGGAGGTCCTGGTAATTAGACAGGAAGTGATTCGATACGGCCACCAGGGCGTCCCGAGGCCAGCGCTGGAACCAGTCCACAGTGCAGCCCGAAATCAGACCTGGGAACTGATCAGGAGACAGATCATTAAAGACAACAAAAGAAATCTTCCTTCAAATGGAAAATAACAATCACACCTTATATTTTACAAAATAAGCTACATTGACTATGACTCATTAAAATGTAGTGGACCAATAATCATTTTCTGACAGTTAACAAACACAAAACATTCAATTAGTCGATATAAACTGTGTGAATCTGACTTTTCTTGTTGGTAGAATCTGCTGAAGCTCACAGTCTTCCCCTCACCTTTAAGGCTCGGGTCCGAAACTTTTCCCCGACAGGCGAGAAGCAGAGGACGACGTGGAGGTTGCTACGCACTCGGGACAGGAAGAAGTCGTAGAGGTTCTCAGATGTCGGAGGTCGGCGCGGGTGATGTCGCTTCATGACAGGAATCAGATCCTGAGTGATGTCATCGAGCTCGTCACGAGCAAACAGGTTAGAAACTTCCCCACTGGCCAGGACATTGTTCATGTATTCTTCAGACGAGAGCAGAGATAGATCAGTACAAAATACTTAATACCTACAAAACTTCTGTCCATGACAGTTTATGGATATTCCAGAAAATGACTTCGATGACCTGTCTATCATTATCAAGACAAAATATATCAAAATATAACAAGCAAATATTTCTCGTTCTAGAAGTACAACCATTTATCAATCTACAGAAGTTCTACAATTTCAATAATCGACAGAAAGAAAATGTATCTCCAAATAGAAAGATTAACTGTAAATCTTTTAGATAACTTTTAAGGCATAAAGGTCAAATATTTTTGCTGCTTTAAGCTTCAGAAATGTGACAATTTTCTGCCTTTTGTTGATTTACAATAAAAACATAAAAGGTTGAAAACAGTGTTGGTTACCGAGGAAGGCTTCGTCTTTTATGTCGTTGTCGGTAAAGAGGAACGTGACTCCTCGACCCTGCTGACCAGCGATACGATACAGAGCCTTCAGATCCTCCAGCAGGTTACTGCTGCTGTACGACCTGCAGGACATACACATACATACACACAAACACACATTGAAAACAAGAATAGTACTGGGAATCTTTGCTGTTATTGAATTACTAAAGAGTTCATTTTCTCCTGCAGAATGAAACTCTTGTTCTGTCCATATTAATGTGAGGTGGAGGTGTGTGTTGGGTCTCAGACCTGGTAAGTGTGATCTGGAACGTTTGATACCCGGCGATGAACGATGCCAGCCTCGTCAGACTCTGCTTGCCCGACCCCCCGACCCCAACCAGCAGGGCGTTTCCCTGCGGCGTGCGCAGGATCCGAGAGATCCGAATCAGGTGGGTCATCGCGTCCTGTCAATGGAGGAAACAAAGGCTTGTTTCATAACAGAGATGCAGAGATTGAAGACACATATTAAATAATTTAAAGCCAGTCATAATGTATGTTTCTGTTAGAGCAGCTTGTTTTTCACTTGTAACTTATCAACATTTAAATGAACACAACTAAAAATAAATGAGGACACCTGAGCCAATCTCAACTCAAATGCTACTCTCTGACTCCTTACATGTACACAAAATAACAGTCAGTCTTTTTTCAAAAAATTGTTTAATATTGGAGGGGGGAAAAGGAATAAAGAAATCTAATTTTGGATGAGCCTCAAAACTCCAACATGGCTGCCTGACATTCAAAAAAGTTAGTCATTACCTTGAAGAAGACCAGGTCCATGGCTCCGCCCCTCACCGCCTCGTTGTACTGCTGCTGGAAAACACACAGTCGCTTTTCCAGAGAGTCCAGGGATGGGATTGGCTCATACACCTGGAAATCAAATCAATCACTCCAATCAGAGGGACATCCAAATATCGAGGCATCTAACTACTTATTAATAAGAGAGGGACTTTACTCAAGTTTAATCATGATAAACCCAAAATAAAAACACTACATTTAAGACAAATTCAATGTTACCTTTGGAGCTTCAAGCTCAACGTCTTCAGGCTCGTCTCCTGTCGCCTCTGGAGCTTCACGCATGAAGTCCACAAAGCAACTGTTCCACTGAGCATGCTCAATCACAGCTTTCCCATGATCCTCCACTGTGATCTGAGGGCAAAAAAGGGTTAGATAATGGTTATATATACACTGCGATACAAAATAGTCAAGTTGAAATGGTGGCAAGAAGCAGAAAAGGAAATACTAATTTGTTTGAGCTATTTGAATAGGCTCAAAGAAAAGGAGGAAAGAGAAAAAACAGAGCTGCACATATCCCTCCGCTTAACTTCCATCATTTAACCTTTTTCTGAATGTTTGATAACATACACGTAACTTCCCAAAACAAACACACCTTCTCCATGATGCCGTTAAAAGTATGTCTGTCGCTGCCGTCAATGAATCTGTCAGCAATCACTCTGCAGCATTCATGATGAAACAGAGCCGAGAGGAGCTCTGAGCTCTGACACACCTCAGACTTCACTGTCAGGATCCCCTGAAGCACAAAACAACAGGTATTGAGGTAAAGTAGTTGACAGAAGAAGGGTTTCTAAACTCCAATTAAATGTGGTGTCCCTCAAGGTCCAATTCTTGGTCCTCTAGTGTTACGAAAGTATCCCCCACTTAACCAAATGATCCAGAAACATGGAGTTTTCAGAAAATTACCTTTGGTTAGATGCTCACATAGCATAAAAATTTGACACCCATTAGACTCACATAATTGTTCATCTCTATTTTCCTGATGACACACAGCTGTATATTCCTATCAGATCTAAAAAAAAAATCAGCAGGTTTAAATTATTTATTTATTCACAATTAGTTTGTATTAGTGTAATCTAAAATGCAGATTCTGTTTATAGGCTAATGAGATCCATATAAAGTGTTGGTTCTTCCACTGATCAAAGCTCAAAGCTTTAATTACTGGCTTATTAAAAAGCCTCTCCTTATTATCAAAGGAACATATCTACCATTTGTAATAAGGATGAATGACTGAAAACAATGTTGAGTTCTGTACCTGCCAGATTCTGCTGAGGTCCCTCAGGTTGAAGATGTAGTGAAATTTAGCAGGAGACGGTAACATCTGAGGAGAGAAGGATTTATTTTCCGGGGAAAAAAAAGACAAGATTATACACTGGTTTGGAAAAGTAATAGGATTTAAAGACTAACAGGTGTCCAGATAAATATCCGAGACTCCAGTCAGCAGTATATCTAAATGATTCACTTTAATCTTCAAATTCATTTAACTCATATATGGGGCAAATAGAGAAAAGAGAAAAGAAGAGGAGATAGAGAAGAGAAGATAGAGAAAAAACAAATATAAGAGCAAGAAATGGAGGAAACAAAACAAAGGTAACAAATTAACATGAACAGAAGTGAACTTCTCGGCTTTAATAAAATGATTTTTACCTTGGCCTTCACAGCCTGCCACACCCGTCTGGTGGTGGGTACGAGGGCAGCGGCGAACTCGCAGACAGCGGCGACAAAGCCTCTCTCAGGGCAAAAGTATCCCTGAGCCACGGTGCTGAAGATCTTATCGATGGAGGAGTTAGAGGGCAGCGTGCAGTTAAAGATGGAGAACTGCCTCTTTAGACGCTGAGGGATGTCGTTCCGCCCGCCACCCGGGTGGATCATGGCTGCCACCAGCTGTTGAAGGTAATTACATAATTCATTGTTTACTCAGAGAGGAGGGCCAGATTTGACAAGGAACATACACTAAATGGTACCATAATTTACTCAATGAACGTCATGCAGTATTGAAGAAGACTTGAAACTAGAGATTGAGATCAAACTCATTTTGAAAATGATAACTAAAGGAATAAATCAACTGACAAGTACGACATCTACTGAAACTATGAACGATACATGGTCATTCTCCAGCTTAGAATAATAAAGATGTCTAAGTCTTAAATGCTAAATAGTAGCCTTCAAACCAATGAGTGACATAATGGAGGCTACATCAACTTCTTCTAAACAATCCATTCATTCTCTTCAAAATGTTGACAGTAAACCTCGATGTCAAACTGAAAAACTGAACCTGTGAAGTTTATAATCAGATGTAAATGATTTGTTGTTCACCTGAACATCCACCACAGTGATGAATTCTCCTGGACGATCCAAACTGTAGAAACCTCCCTGCTCCATCAGCTGACGCACAATCTCATTGGTTATCTGAGAGGAACAAGGGTCAGGGACAGGACATGTCAAGATTTAATGTCAAATATCAGGAGGGTGGGCGCAAAAATGGAGCTTAAAGAATACACACTGGTTTATCATTCAAGATGAAGAGACAAAAGAGTTTAACAATTTAAACAACTTTTCATAAAAAATGTAATTGGTTACCTGAAAATGTATCAATAACCAAGTTGCTAAATTAACAGAATAGAAATCCCAATGTGTAATATTTTCTTGTCGTCAGAATAGAAGAAAGAAAACAAACATATTAAAAACATGATGAAAGAAACAGAGGAAAAACCTTGACCAATCAGAGAGAGTCTGAGGCAGACCTGATCACCCCATTCGTTGATGACGGGCATGTTGATGTCATCGATGAAGACGGTCATCCTGCGCCCGGCCGGTGGCCCGTAGGTGGCGCCCATCCGTTTATCGATGTAGCTCTCGATGGTTCGCTGGAACATGCTGGGCAGCGTGGCCGACGAGAAGTTCATCGTCTTACTGAGGTGGCGCTCAGGGTCGAGCTTACTAGTGTAGCCCTGCAGGAGGATCCATTAGCATTTGCTTAATTTTTAAGCAGAGTAAAACCTTGCTCATATTTTGGACTGTTTTTAGTTTTAATTGACAGTTTAATTATTGCAGATGGGTTCTGCGATACATTACAGTATGGCATTTTTCTCTGTGTCTCACTTTGATCATGACAGTCTTGGCGGTTCCCTGTTCTCCAATCAGCAGCACGGCCTTCCTCTGCTTCACGATGGTCTGCATCAGGAAGTCCGTCCTCACGTTGTCCACGTTGGGAACCAGGATGGACGAGTAGTCCGGGACGTGGTCCTTGGGGTAAACGTAGTCAGGGACCTGCAAAGTTTCAACAATAAATACAAGAGGAACATTTAGAGACTGCACTTGGATGTGTCCAGGTTTGTCTGATGGGCCAACAAAATTGACTGTACTTTAACTTTCTGGTTGGGAGCTCAAACTTCATTAAATCACTGAATATGCTGAATGACGTGGAAAAAAACAGACATTTCTATATGATGTAGCAGGATCTTAGGTTTGCGTATTTGACTCTGCAGAGAAAAGATAAAGAGTATAAGGGGAAAAAATAGTGATCTATTAAAAAAAACACACAGAACAAAACATCCACAGACCTTGTTGGACCAGTGCTCCCATTGTCCCTGCTCGTTGACGGTGAACTCAAAGATGGTCTGATCATCCTGAGTCTGCGGCAGGTCCAGAGAAGAGCCCAGTCGCTTTAAACAGACACGACAACAAACTGGACTGTTAAAGCCCTGGAGGACATTTTACATACAGACAAAATGATCACACATCTAGGAAAAGTATTCATAAAAGCAGGACTATAATGACATACATTTTTTTTCCAGAAATTAGCCAAACTAAGATCCTGAGCGCCAAACGAGTGTCAGAGCTACAAAAAGTCAAGTTTGGCCTGATGATGGCGCTAAAGGAAATAAAAACATCCTCCTGGGGCACCAGATAGCCTTGCGGTTATGTTGCACGCACCAATCCTTCAAAACAAGCAGGTAAACTCCTAAAATTGAATTTACCTGAAATGTTGGGTAATTAAAAACAATAAATAACCTAATATTTGATGTCTTGAAACGGGTTTTGATATTTGTTCATCAGCAGTTGTGAGGACGTCTTGACCTCTTTGTAACTGAACATAAACAAGAGCGCCCCCTTCAGGTAGCCCAGGTTCATCAACAGACCTCCAAAGCATGCACAGACACACACCTTTAGGAAAGCCTCCATCTTGGCTCTGTCTTCCAGCTCCAGTACCGCTCCCAGAGACCACATCACCGCAAACACAAACAGTCGCCCAACGTCACCATGGCAACCCTGTTTCTCCTCTGCAGGAAGCAACCCCTGAAAAAAAAAACAAATAAGAAAAGGAAACAACAACGAAAATGACTTGAGAACATGGAAACATCCACACTGTAGAAGAAGGAGAGGAAAAAGAGGAGGGTGTCTCCCCTACTGGCAGTGTAGGTTATGACACAAACACTGACAGAACATCCTTTCACATTTCATTTCTTCGAATGTAAACTTTCCCCAGAACACAGAGTTTAGGTTTTACCTGGAGTCATAACCTTTACTTGGACCCTTCATAAGCCTTTTCTCTGTGTTACTGTCGTCTACTTATAACTGTGTGTGTGTGTAAAGTCCTGTCTGTTTGATTTAGACAAATGACTCTACCAAATTTAAAAAAACTCAAGTAAATTACAAAATAGAGAGGGATTCTCTTTTCCTAAAGTGACCCAAAGGCTGCTATGTGAAGGGTCCATCAGTATTGGCTAATCCCATTCATTCACATTTATACACCGACGTAGCAGCAAGAGCAACTTTGGGTTAAGTGTCTTGCCCAAGTTCACATCAGACAGCTGGGGATCGAACCCCCAACCTTGCAGTTCAGAGATGACCGACTCTACAACTGAGCCACAGCCGCCCCATAGTGTGATAGATGTTTTTTTTCTCCAAAAACGAGTGGTTTAAAACCAAATGAATAGACTCTCGCTCCCCACTCTCTCTCACAGAGTAGGAGTTGATCATCCATGTATTAATGTCAAATAGAATAAATTCATTCTAAATAGAGATTTGGTACAGACCCTATATGAGGGAGTTCCTGGCCCAACCATACTGTGAAGATATATGAACAGTATATCAGGGTTAAATGCTTTATTTAGAACCCACTCAGTATTTGCATGAGCAATCTTCTTGACTAATTGTAAAACTGTTTGTAGTCATCAGTTGTTAATCCTGAATTTGTAAGACAATCAGACTTTAAGATAAACTAAGTAATTAATAAGTAATAAAATGTTTGTGTCGTACCTGCAGCAGGTCAATAGTCTGTCTGATGTACATACACTCCAACACCTGCATCTTAGGAGATACAGATGTTGAGACAAAGTCCAGCAGGTCCTGTGGATGGAACAGAAAAATAGAGATGAACATCTTTTTTTGTTTTCCTTTAGAGAGCTGAGGAAAATCTGATAAAGAAGAATTTAAAGTATCTTCAAGTTATGATGAGTGAAACAGTCTGAGTTTTCATGGTCCTTCCCTGGTAGCAGCAGCTGAAGCAGAGTTTCAGGGCGTCGGCCTGTGGTCCAGGGAGCGTCTGTAACCAAGCCTGCAGGATGGGGCTCCAGCCGAGCACCGACGAGCTCATGAACACCATCCCGTTCCTGGACACGGTGGCCGGGGAGGCGTTGTCGATGTTGTGGGGTTCAAAAACAATCTGTAGACAAAGACATGAACATACTTTACATCTTCCTGATTTAGATTTTAATTCAGTAAATCTCCTCTGGTTCAGGGTTCAACCTGCTCAATGAACCCTGGATTTTGTCTGAGAAGGTGTTTTCTGTGATGTCACCTTGCAGCAGGGGGCCATGGGGATTCGGTCTCCGTTCGCCAGCGTCAGAGTTTTGTTGTCGTCCAGAACTGAGTTCAGGTTCTCGATCCAGATGGCATCCACTGGCCCGTCCAGCACGATCCAGACGTATTCCCCCTGACACACACACGTGCAAACACACATAATACATTTAATACGATTCTAATACGTCTCTCCTGTCTCTATGTTAACTTTTGAAAGTTATTTGATGCATTTCTCTTTCTATCTCCTCTTTTAAACACATCATAAAAACTATTATCATCATTCAAAATATATTTGTTTGCTGCGTCTTCCTTGTGCTGTTTTGAAATAAGTACCAGAGCTTTCATCATTTGTTACACTATATGGTGTCATATTTATGTGCTTGGAGGACCTGGGAGCTGGAATAACGGGAGTAAGAGGTGAATTGTGTCTTAAGCGTGTAGGCTTAAGTGTCCTTAAATACACAGATTTAAACAATTTCTATGGTTGATCTAATTCGAGCTCAATCAAGACTTGGCCATCTTCTTATAACATATTTAAAAAACAACCTTCTTGGCCTTCAGAGTCTTCCTCCACAGAGTAGAAAAGATGCCGTCGGTCCAGTCGTTGGTGGTCACGTCCAGCGTGCCGAACATCTGCGAGGCCGTGATCGCTTTGGGGTTCATCCTCATCTCGCGGTGGGGGGAGCCGCACTCTGACATGGCCTTCATCAGCGTGTGGATACACGCCGTCTTCCCCGCACCGCTGGGACCCAACGTCATCATACCTGCAGGGGCCCAGGTGAACTGTTCTTATTTCTACACCAGAGAATCTTACAGAGGCTTTTTCTAGAACTGAAGAGTTAACAGATAAAAACGAACACGTTTGCTGCATATTCATTTATTTTCATGAATATTAATGACAGTATTTCTAACGATAAATAATAGCTCTTATATTTGTTCATGGCGAGAACATGAAGCAGCTTTTATGTCTTCATGTAGGGAAATAAAACCATGCAGCTCTTTTCACATATCCTTCAGGGCTTCACTTTTGATACTTTTATGAAATAACTTTGAAACCTGACACTATTTTTCAGTATTTGGGACAAATGTCCGAGAAATAGTCCATTTTGCGAGGACATTAAAAAAAACAACAACGTTATGTTTGAACGTTTGTAGCACAAATTAAAGTCCAGCCGATCACTAAATGAAGATGGAAAATGTAAATTTAAAACATCAAACTGCTATCAATCAGAAAAATTATTCTGGAAAGCAACAACTGAAAGATTCAGTCTGTTCTGAGCCGTACCGTGTCGGACTCTCTGCGTCTCGTACAGCTGAACCAGTTTGAGGATCCAGGGGGGATGAGGAATCAGTCCGGCCTGCTGAGCCTGACTGAAGATAGACGACTCCAGGTCGGGATAACCAGCTTTATCAAGAACTACAGAGGAGGAGGAGGAAAATAAAACAACTCATTAAAACATATGTAGAAAACGTATATTTATAAATAAACCTGAGAATAACAGCAACAGAATAAAGCAGTCAGTTCATTCTTTGACATTCGCAGCCTGACTCCAAGACTTTTTGCTTCCAAACTTTTATATGAGGGTTTGGGTTTGTTATCCAAATCTAAGACCACGCTGGTAATCTCTAGTTACATATTCTTCATAAAAGTTGTAGAATCTGTAGACTCCGCATTGAATTTTGTTTGCGGAGGTGTTCTCATTTTAGTTTGTAATATGAGTTGTATTATCCACTGTGATGTAAATGTGGGGCGCTAAAGCAGCAGAACACAATCCAATGTAATGCAATGAAATCCAATCATTAAGCAGACATCTACATAAAATTCACTCTTTGATGGGTCGGATGTTTGAGTGTGTAATGTAGTGAGAGATAGAAACCTACCAATGCCAGGGAAGAGATCATTGATCAGACTCATGAACAGAGGCTCATCCTCATCGACCTGCAGAGACAGAGAGGATCAATGGTACTGTTTTAAATGTGTCACAAGATGGAAACTTGAAAAAGAATATTTGAAACCATTGGCACAATTTGGACTGCTTTTCCACCCTTCAACATTGTTCTTGATTTTTTTCCCAGCATGCTTCTGTGATCAGGTACCAAGCAGTGACTCTCTTTAAGAAGGAGATGAAGCCTCTTTTTTATACAACTGAGCTGAAAACCTTCATCTCTCCCGTGTGGCTTGCAATGGTCAAAACTGCCAGAGACGAGGTCAATGTTGCCACGTCTCTGTTTGAGATTTCAGGTATTTACAGTATGGTTGAAAACTTTCATATTGTCTGATCTCTCAGAAGTAAATCGCTAATAGAAAACTAACAGACCAGTTTGGAGAGGTTCATGTCTCTCAGGACCCTCATCACCACCGTCTTCTCCGGTTCTGATGGGTTGGATCTCTTCACAGCTCCCAGCGTCCTTAAAACGGACAAAATGTTCCTCAGACCAAAATCATAATGGACCTGGTGTGGAAACAATAAGAAACATGTTAATCTAGTGCAGTGAGCAGAGACTTAAATATGATCAAGTTTGACCTCTATGACCTGTTTGGAGAGCTGCTCCTCACACAGCTTGTAGAGGGTGTAGAACTTCCTGCTGAGGACCTGGTTGTCACGGAAACCTGCACTGGCCAGTTTGACCCTCATGATGATTGCTCTGTCCGGCACCATCATGGCTACAGTCCGAAACTGAATCTTCAGGTTCTCTGGCAGCTCCTGGCGACCTGCGTAACCTGGGTTCTGGAGGACAGAGAAGACTTTTGAAGTCTGGAACGTTGTGGTTGATTCAGAGGTTCACTTCTCCAACTTTAGAATGGTTAGACTAGTTTAAAGTCATAGATCAACCGAGGGCTTTACTGGAAATTCACCAGCTCCGCAGACGTTCAATTGTAGTTTAGTGTGGAAATAAATTGTGTTTCACCACCTGGGTGGTTCTAATGTCCAAAAATGACTCTTGAAATCTAGCTTCTAGTAGATGTAAAGTCCTCCTTAAAATCAGGTTGTCATGGTGATTTCTTTATGAATAAATAATAGTATATAATCCTTGCATTTCCTGTGCTTAATGATGTCAGAGCTCAGTTACCATGGTGAGGAAGATGCCGAACTCAGGGTCCATATCGACCAGGTCTCCGTCTGTGAACACAAACTGTTTCTTCTTGTTCTTCTTACACTGCAGGACGATGTAGATCTGCTGGGCGGCGACGGACAGAACCGGCAGTTCGATGCGGTTAAACTCATCAAAGCAGCCCCAGGCTCCGGACTGGGCCAGACCTGCAGACACACAACAAATAACTGGCACCTGACTGAGCAGCACTGGTTTTATCCCAGCATTCTTTGCACAACATGGCGCTAAGTTCATGCTGAAATAGCTCACAGAAATAGCTGATAAAAAGAAGAGTAAAATGGGTTTTGGTCCAGGTATGTGTGGTGTTTGTGAGGTGATGAAGGTTCCATCTGTTCTGTTTTTAATGTCTGTTCTTGGACCTTCTCCTGGAGCAGCCGACACTGGACTCTGCTACTCCTTCAGGAAGCTGCTCGTTGCTGCACATACTCTCTCTCCTTATGAAAAAATATATAGTTTCTGTCCAGACAGAAGCTCTAAGAGTGGGAGGAGTTGTCTGACACCTGTGAGTGTGAGTGTGTGGATGCTGGTAGAGAGGGTTTGCAGCTTCAAGTACCCAGTGGTGCACTTCTCTGAAGATCTCACATGGACAACCCACAAAGAAGTGGGCGAGGCCGTCACCTTTACACTAACACCAATCTAAGGGCTGGAGCCTTCAGAGAAAAACGTACACACTCACACACCTTTATATATGCGTCCCAGTCCTCTGTAGTCCATCTGGTCGGAACAGTTAAAAACCACCACATATTTCCCCAGACAGCGGCCCATGTCTTTAGTGGTCTCTGTCTTTCCTGGAAACACAAACACACATATATGTAGAACATGCAACAAAGTCAAGACGAGAAAGTTTATCATTAAAGACATGTTCTGCCTTACCTGTTCCTGCTGGACCAGCCGGAGCTCCGCCCATACTCATGCCCAGAGCCTGAGACAGAGTGATGTAACACCTGGGACAGATGTTCAAAGGAGTGTTAACATCCTGGTCGATACAGGCCTCATCTTAAAGATGGTTTCACCTGACAGTCAGTGGGTTAGGTGATGTTTCAGGTCTGTGTGTGTGTGGGAGTGTGTCTGTGGTGTGTGTATGTGGGAGTGTGTCTATGGTGTGTGTGTGTGTACCTGTCGGTCAGCGGGGTGATGACCAGTCTGTCCGTACAGCCGAGGTATTCGTTGCAGTAGCTGAACTCAACATCTGTGATTTGGATGATACACCTGTCCGTCTCCTCCAAGAAGTAAAACCTCGACTGTTTCTGCCACTCAAAGTCCGCCGCGGATCGCACGTTCAGACGCACCTGAGCGAGATAACGGAACATTATGAAAGCTGCCGTCATCAACATCCAGCTGCACATTTAGCCTGCTCCCTTTCCTCCCACCAGCTCGTCAAAGATGTCCCTCTGGTGGACGTGGATGGTGATGAGCGTCTCATATTTAGTCCTCTCGTTCTTGCTCAGCTCCCTGGTCGTCATGTCGATCAGCTCGTTGAGGATATCCAGGAACTTCTGATTGGTTGTTTGCATGATCTGTTAACCGCAATCAGATACAAGTATACAAGTGGAATGAGAGGAGAGGATCTGTTTGACATGTCTTAACCTAGCTCCTATTTTTATAATCAACAAATCAATTTCTATTTCTATATCACCAAATCCTAACAAAACTTTTCTTGGGACACGTTTCATAAAGAGCAGGTCTAGACTGTACTCTTTGGTATAATATTTAATGAGACCCAACACAAGTCCTGCTGCCTTTAAACAGGCCCTGAGCAGAACTAGACTAATGGTAGCATCAAATCTGCTGCGACTGGATGGGCCAAACAAATTGGGAGAGAGGGAGCTGCAGAAAGAGAGAGCTGGATAGAGATGCACCTTCTTGTCCGACTTGCTGAGGGCGAGTGCATCCTCTGCTTCTTTGGTCCAGATCATCTGGATTCCCAGCAGGCCGACCTGAGCTGGAAACGCAGACTGGAACTCCAGCAGCTTCAGGGCCGGGTCGCTGATGGCCAGGTAAGCCTGACGAATGATAGCATGGAGCGTCTGCCTCACCCCGAACAGCAACTGTCCCAACCACTCCTCCACGTTCCCCTGGATGGGCAAGTTACAGTTACCTAAACGTTAAACCAACTGCAAAGCTTCACGAGTCAAAGTTCTTACTAATGCTGCGTGTTTCAGGCATTTTAAGTACAAAAAGTTACAAAGTATTTGGACAAAACTGTTTCATTAGATATCTAATTTATGTAACTTCGACTGAAGAAATATTTATCCCAAAACTGGACAACCAAAAATGGAGGAACTGCAGTTTTATGTAGGCTTCATTTTGAGGTGGTTGCCTGTTGATTAATATCATACTTCCACTCAGCTGAAAATGTTCCAATCCTATGTATACAGACATTGAGAAGTAAATAAAAAGTCCCCATAATGATAGTAAATCCAGCTGCAGTGTGTACCTGAGCCTGGACAGGCTGGCTCAGGTCCACAGTTTCTCCCTCTTGAGACTGAAAGCTGACGATCTGGTCGTAGATTTTCTCGTTGAAAACCACTCTGTTGACGTTGTCAAACAGACTGAGCAGATGAGCCTGAGAGGTAGCAATGGAAAAGACTCAATCAACAACAACAACAAAAAGAAAAACAACAATGGGAAAGGTAAAAAAAAGGGAGGAGAGAGAAAGGTGGAGGGAAGAAGGAGAAGCAAAGTAAGAAAAATAAAATCACGCACCAAAATATATTCTTATGTGTGTGTTGCCTGTATAACCAGTGTGTTACCTGTGTGTCAACAGTGTATAACCAGTATGTTACCAGTGTATAACCAGTGTGTACCTGTGTGTTACCTGTATCGTGTGCGAGTCAGAGGCTTGTCCTAGGATCTCCAGCAGGGCGGGATCAGACACAAAGAAAAAACGAGGAAACACCAATCGTTTCTTCTCCAGGTAACCAGACAAAGACTTCTGACAGTGCTCCAACTGCTCGAGGAGGTGAGGGAGCAACTGAAGGAGGAAGAGGAGGAGGAGGAGGAGGAGGAATAAGAACCTGGTCTGAATCAAGCATGAATCCTGAATAACTATATTTCTAACAGAGACACATGGATTAGACCAGCAACTCTTGATAATTGTAGGATTAAAATGACAATTTTTGTCAATGGAGTCTGTAATGTTGTCAGACTAACAATCTGAGCCGCTCAGAAACACTAGAAGTTTTACAGAGTCAGAGTGTTATGAGGCATGTTGGCAGCACCTGGCTGAGTGTCTCATCCCCCACGCAGCACTGCACCACATTAGGGAGCTCGTGTGCTCGCTGCATGATCCTCTGCCACGACTTGTCAATGTTCTGGAAACGCTTGGCCTCCTGGATGAGTCAAAGACAAACTTGAATCTGTCAGGGATGCTGAAAAACACAAACACAATCTGTGTACAGAAAGTTTTCGGGGTTCACTGTGACCTGAGGAAGCTGCTTAGCGATGTCACCGCCCACAAACACCGCCTCCAGGTAGATCCAGAGGTTTTGTACAGACAGCCACTTCTCGATGATCTCGGAGGTGTTGGAGAGTTTCTGGACCCAAAGCTGGATGGACGGCTTGAAGGGAGCGTTGTATCTGCAGGAGGAAGAACCACAGTCCTTCTTACTCATGTCATTTTCAGTATTCTTTTAATTTACATTTTCTCTTTCCTTTCTTTGCATCCTTCCTCTCCTTTCCTCCCTCCCTTCCTCAGGCCCTCGTCTCCTCACCTGTTGCTCAGCAGTGACGCCAGCACCATCAGACTGTCCTCCATCATGGTCATTTTCTCAGCTGTGTCGGCCCCTTTCAGCAGCAGTTCTCCCCTGGTCCTGAAGGGGGCGAAGGCGAGCGCGTGGCTGCTCCACTCGGCTACAACGTCCTTCAGCTTGGCCTCGATGTCCCGCTCCTTCACCGCGCTGATACAGACATCCTGATGCACAGAAACATTTTAAATATATTTTTTTTCGAATATAAAAGAATCTTTAAATAAACTGTTACCTTTTCATTCACTTATGTATTTTTTCCTGTCTTACGGTAAGGATAACATTTAAAAAACAAGATTAGAGGGAGAAAAGGTCAATAACAGAATTAAGAAAGAGCAATAGCAGCAGCAGTGTCTGTACTGAAACACTTTAGGATACCTCAATGTCCTCTTTGTATTTCAGCAGCGGGGCCTCCATGATGTTTTTGAGGGCCAAACTCTCTGATTCCACCTGAAAGCTGTGACCAGTCAACTCACTGAGGCGAGTCCAGTGTCGAGCAGCATGGCCTGAAACACAAATGGTTAAATCGCTGACTGTTCATCGGAGTGACAGTGGTGTGTGTATTAGTACAGGAACATGTGGGACTATGGTGAATGACTTCTCACCTTGTTGGCCATCATGTAGAGCAGCGGGCAGCTCTCCGTGAAGTCATCGATGGTTTTCTTGAGATCTCTGAAAGCCGGCCAATCCTTCAACGCCTTTGGAAGCTTCCGGATCCTGGAACATGTACGACGACCCAGTGAGCCAACCAATGAATCCATCGATTATCCAATCAAACCATTAAATAAACCAATCAATCACACTTCATTTGTGTTAAACTATTCATCCATATAAGGTTACAAAATGATAAACAATTTCTGTATTTATTTGTTGTGTCCTTCCTCTACCTGTTCTGGAAGTCCTGCAGCTCAGTGTTGATCTTCTCGATGTTAAGCTCCGCCCACAGGATGTCATGGTATCCGGCCACGCTGTCGATGACGGAGTTATACAGAGAGTAGAGTTTGGACAGCAGAGACAGCTCCCTCCTGATTCTCTGCAGCTCAGGGTACTCTGCAGGGAGGAGGAGGAGGAGGAGGAGGAGGAGGAAGTATGATTACATTAACATTTTTCCTAGCTTATTAGTTTGCTCAGTGTTTGTCATACATTTATTGAGAGAGTCAAGATTGTTGCTGGTTTTCCCTGCAGAGAAACTGGTGGGCGGCAGTATGTGTTGTTAATCTGCCACCTCCATCAGCGATAGATAGAATCTGTGTTTGTGGGGAACACGAGGGTAAACATTCACCACTGGTGTTTAGCTCTTATAACTTGGTGTTTTCTAACCCCTCCCTTTACCTTCTCCTTCATATATGATCATTTTTGGCTGCAGAAAACCAACATTGTGGCTGCCAAATGCTGAACTCCACGCTTCATATTCACATCATAAACCAACAGGTGACGTAGCTAATGTCTTCAGTTGCTCGTACCGTTAACCGGCAGTCCAAACAGCTCCTCTCCTCCACTGTAGGTGGTGTACTTCCTCCACAGCTGATCAAACTCAGCCTGGAAGCTCTGTAGCCGCTCGCTGGCTTCAGCAGGAGCCACGCCCTCCATCCCAGGACCCCTGCAAGCACACAGGTCTGACTGTTCACCTGTTATCATACAGAATATGTACCATTTGTCCCTCACAGGGTGTACCTGTGGTTGTACTCGCTGCAGAAGCTCTGAACGTGGATCTGGAAGCTCTGCACCGCGGACAGCAGGTCCGCCTTCATGCTGGGCTGGATCCTCATGAGAGTGTTCTGGTTCTGATCCACCTGAGGGCACAACACACTCACACTTGTACTGGGTTGCAGCAGCTCTGCGTACGTTCAAACACAGACTAGTTTGGAATGAATTTCTAATTCAGGATTAGGAGAGTTATTGTGATGGGCTTGAAATGTTGGATAACCTTCATAACCTTAGTGACTTGGAGCAGAGGGTTTTATCAGCTGTTTGGTGTCAGCAGTGTGTCCAAAGAAAAGCTCTTTAGTGTCAGTAGCTGGTTGTGTTATTGTTCTGTAATCAGCTTTCATGTTTAAAATCTTTATAATTCTCAAAATATGCTTATTAAAAGTCAAACCTAAGTTCTTCATTTTTATATCCACCAAACCATTTTCAGCTCAGCCCTCAGCTTTCAAACCCAAATCAGTCTGATTGTGAAAAAGTCTCTGTGATCCCAGAAGATGAGGTGTGAGACAAAATGCGTGACGGGTATGTACGAGTTCAAATCTTTAGAGATATTTAGAACATGATCCTCCGTCTCACCAGGCTGTTGAGGTTCTTCCAGGCGTACGTCAGGACATCCACGCGCTCTGAGTTCCCGTCGCTGAAGAGCAGCTCGTGTTTGGTGAGCAGAGCGAAGGATTCCTCCACCGGACCGATGGTGGCGTCAATGCGAACCTCTGCCTCCCGAACCTCAAACAGGTAGCACACAGGAGGTGAGAGAGTGAGAGAAGAAAGAATGGAAACTAAATGGAGGACTGAATCTGGAGAGAGGGAGATTTATAGATGCATCGCTAAAAGAACAACTGGCACAGTAGTCATTAACATACAGAGGTATCAGTGCAACAAGTGTTTCAATTATAGGATAACAGGAAAGGAACAAACAGGAGACTTTTTGATAGCATTGATGTCAGATGTCTATAAGAGGCCAGCTGACCTCTCTGAGTGCTGCCATCGCTCCCCGCACATCCTCCAGGTCTGTGATTGGACGCTGAAGCCTCTTGGTCAGCGCGTCGACGAATGAGAAGATGTCGTCCATGTTGGTGGATGCCCTGCGGTTGAGTGCGGTGCCGAAGGCCCGTTTCCACAGCCGACACTCCTGAGTGAGCGACAGTTTCAGCTGCTCGGTGTCGAAGAGAACTGAACCCACCATGAAAAACGCTGGGAGCTCTGAGATCTGCATCTCCAGCTTCTGCAGGGACAGCAGGGCATTGTGGGTAGAGAAAATTAGCATTTGAACGCAAGATTTGCAACTACAGATTAAGACCATGGACTTATTGGGAAACTGTTTACTTAGGTAAATAAATTAACTGACAAGTAACAACATTTTATCATTGAAAACTGTGACATGTATGAAGAGATCATGTGACCAAACAGGAAGTGGACTTACGGAGTAGAAGGAGATCTGAGAGTTGAACTCGGTGAGCGAGGGATCAGACAGCAGGAAGGCCTGAACCTGCTCCTCCGTATCCTAAACACAAACAGCTGTTAGTCTAACAACAACACCCCACAAACACAAACACTCACACACACACACACACACACACACACTGACCTGGTTCCACAAAGTAGAGAAGTGGGAGAGCTCAGTCAGAGTGTCTGCAGCCTGAGCTCTGAGCGTCGACACGATGGAGCCGAGCTGCATCATAGACCTGCTCAACACAACAACATGAAGAACACAGTCGACACAACAGTTCAGATCGAGTATTCTGACTGGATGAGAGACGTTCCATGAGAAAGGAGATTGTCAAAGCAGAGAAAAGAGGACACAAGTTGTCAAAGCTGTACGCTACGACAGAGAAGTCTACAAAAGCAAAGATGGCACATGAAATAAAAACAAAACAGATGGTGCTCTGGGATTTGGCAAGTTTAAAGATGTCGACAGACTCTGACAAGTAACTATTGTTTCCTCTCCTTTTGTTTGGTTTGTTTTTGTGTTACTGTATTTTATTTACAGCTTGTGTATTGTTGAGTTTTCTTCTTCAGCTTTGGAAAACAAGAGTTTAATAAAAATAGGTTTGAGGAAAAACAGACGTTCACTGTGTTTTTAAAGTCTAAACGTTTTTGTTCTCCCTCTCCTCTGATTGGCTGTCCTTATTTTTGTGCATTAACGCATTCCGTGTTGGTTTCCTCTGTCTTCGTATTCAAATATCAAAACAAGATTTTAATCAATTGACAAATTAATTGACAGCTGACTTGTTGATGTCTTTGTGTTCGACCAGCTGTCGGTCCAGAGGCCTCAGCACCGGCGGCTTCAACGGGATGTCGTCTCCCGAATCCCGGAGCGCCGCCTGCTCCACCTGGCAGAGACAGTAATACTGGTGTGTGATTGGCTGACTGGTGTCAGGTGTGACATTTGAATGAGCTGAGTGATGAGCGTACCTGCTGCTGTTTGAACTGCAGGTGAGCAAAAGTCCACAGAGGGATGTCTTTAGTCACAGACAACACAATGTTTACCAGCCTGTTCACAGAGCTCTGAAAACACACACACACACACACACACACACACACACACACACACACACACACACACACAGAAACAACCACTCATGTCACTGCTCCATCCATGATTAAGATAACAAATCCTATCTGAAAGTGTGTTCAGTTATTCAGTCTATACTGAAGTGTTTTTAGCAATAATAGAAAAATATCAAAGGTACCTGGATGTCGTCCACGCTGGGTCTGAGGACGATGTTTGGGATGGCGAGCTGCATAGAGGCTCTGAAGAGAGGAGGGGGCGCTGATTGGCTGCTGTAGGAGGAGGGAGGCTGGACTTTGGGGACATGAAGTCTCCTCCTCAGGGCGTCCAGAGAGGATTTGGTGGCTGAAAGGAAAAGGACTAATCAGAGAGCTCAGAGGTTTGTGGTGGACAATACAGATCTGTCAGATAAATGACTATAACACAACTAAATAACAAATCACAACAGCTAATTTAACCATGTACAGACTTTAATTTTTTTAAATGCCCTTTTCCCTTTCAGTGGAACTAAACAGCTTGTGATCATGAGGAAACAGTCCACTCCCCAAAACATAGTCGGTCCATGGGCAGGCCATCAGGTTTCACCAGGAAATCATCTAAACAGCGATAATTTGTCTGATTTCTGCTTAGGGAGTAAATACTGGCAGGAATGAAGCCATGAAAAATGAGAGATAAAAGCCATGACGGGAAAGGAAAGGACACGAAGAAGGCCCGACCTTGAACGAGGGCTTCAGTGTTGCGGTGACAGAGCTGACCAATCAGGTTGTAGAATCGACAAGGAAGACACGACTGACAGCGAGTCTTCTGTTTGAAGTCTGGATGGAGGCACTGGAAAGACCCCTGAGCAGGAGGAGAAGGTGGTGGTAGAGATTAAATGTAATCTAACTTTGTTTTGTAATCTTCTGTGTGTTATTTTACCTCCAGATTAACCGTCTCTGGCGTCTTCATCTTCCTCTTCAACTCGTCAATCAGCTCAAAGACGCACCTCTCCACCTGCTGACTCTGCCTGTATCCGCACACAAACAACACCACCAAATAATAACATTTGTGGTCAACAATGAGCAGAGCAAAGAGTGATACAGTGTTAAATCTGTATTTTCTAGAGACCCGGGCTTAATATTTGGGTTTTATAAACAACTGTTTTTATTGTACGAAATGTGCATTGGTGTATTTGCTGAGACCTAAATGAGTGGAGACCTAAATCCTAACAGTGGCAGTATAGCATTATGTTGTTCTATCATCTGTATCACCAGTTCAGGGTGACGGCAGCAGCTCGGACTGAGCTGTCTGTCTGCAGCAGGAGGTCCTCAGGTGAGACAGGTGAGTCTTCAGGCAGGACCAGCAGACAGCTGGACGACATGGACTGAAGCAGCTGACCAATACGACACTCCAACAGGTCTGCTGCAGCTTTAGACACCTGATCCAGATCCTTTAGAGCCTCATACACACCCTGTATGACTGAGCAGCACACAGAGTGAAGAGGGGTTACCATTAGTCCTAATGGTGATCAAAGTAAAGTTTGTTGATTGATAATGTTTTATTTAAATGGGTTTGCAGCATTAACATCATTCAAATGCAAAAAAAACTAACTAAATCTTTTATTTATCGTCGCATGCTCACATAGGTCGGTGTTCAGAGCGGTCCAGGAGAGTGCGGTGAGGCCAGGAGAGAGAGACGCCTCCACCCGGCCAATGAAGGGCTGCATCAGAGGGAGGAGTGAAGGCGGTATCTTTGCAACCAATGAGCTGTAGTCCTGGATCAAATCCAGCAGCCTGGATAAGCAACAAAGACAGTCAAGTCAATCAAATATGAGTTTTTAAAAGAAGGCAGGACAGACCAGCAGGGTGGATCCAGTCAGGTCGAACTAAGTAGAGACGAGAAAGTAAAGAAACATGGCTTCAAAGATGTCAAGGTATAACGAGTTGGATAGTTGGATAAGTAATTTAAGTTTATCAAAAAAGTTTCAGTATAATCCAGATAGTTAGTCAGTTTCTGAACATCCAAGGACAGTTTGATATAAAACACAGCTTATTATCCAATCAAATCAAACGGCACAAAAGTAGTAAAAAAACAAAGCTTTTACAAAAAACCTCAGTAAAATCCTGGTGGTTAAAGCCAGCTTGATTCGAGGAAATAAATGGGAGTAGTGTCTAATCAAATTAAACTACAAAAACAATATGAGAAAAATATTCTGCATGGTTCTTTTATTGGTGCAACAAAAAAACTGCACAAACAGGCAAACAAAGCAATGGAAGTTCAGGGCACATGCATGAATCTTGAAAAAGACGGGTTTGAGCAAAGAGTAGTGAAAATAATTGAACAGAAAGGAGTTTATTTGGTTGATCAGCAACTCCATATTATGTTCTTAGTGTGATTGATTAAAATGTTGGCTTCCACTCCTCAGAATGCCTGTTTAACATTCCTGCCTCTTCAAACGAGGAACAACCTCCCACAGTGAAGAGTTATTCTCACCTTGTGTGCAGAGCTTTGACATGTTCTTCTCTTGAGATCATTTTCTGGACAACCTTTGGCACAGGAACTCCCAGCTTGGTCATCCATCGGGCCTCCTGCAGCATCTCCAGAACCCCAGGGTCGAGGTTCACAAAAACCTGCTGAGGATAGACAATGTTTGTCACGCAATCAATAGAATTGAGAGGCTCAGAAAGAACGTCGATGTCTCTGGAACTTCCTTAGATCGGTTCTCCTCTCAATTGTCTGACACAACAATTTCAGTTACTGTTTGTAATTTTTTTCTGTAGAAAGCCTGTCTTTTGGTGTTCCTCAGGATTTTGTTCTGGGCCCTCTGTTGTTTTTTTTCTATCTGCTCCTTCTGGGGAATGTTACAGAAAAATAAAAATATATCTCCTGTCATTATTATGCAGGTGACATTCAGCTGTGCATCTCTCATTTTTTAAGATTTGTATTTAGTCTTTTTTCTCCTTTTATTAGATAGGACAGATGATGGAGTGAGAAACTGGGGAGAGAGAGCAGAGAATGACATGCCAGCTATACATTTTTTAAACATTATACTGTATCTAAAAAGAAATTTCCACAAAATCTGGTGTATAAGACCAATTTTGATACCTACCGAGCTCAAATAGCGTATCCTACAGATACTGTAGCTACTGTCACCCTGTGAATACAGTCAACTGGCCTATCATTGCATGAACCATCACCTGGTTGTTGTCATTTCTGACCAGCAGGGCGGCGCTCAGGCAGTGTGGTGCGCCCTCTGCAGCCTGACTCCAGCCCTGCAGGTGCAGCAACTCGTACTGCAGCAGCACCACGGCCATTTTGTTGTAGCTCCGGATCACCTTAGTCAGGTCTGGACCCTGGCAGAGGGAGGAACAGCCAGGCTCACTGAGGTCATATTAATCAGTAATATTGATGAGTCATATGATCGTTAAATCAAAGTTTTACCTTGAGGATGTCGAGCTTATTCTTCAGGATCAACATGGGAGCTTCAATCTTCCTGAAAAGTTGTTGACACCACAGGATCCTGCCCGCCACCTGAGAAGGACACGAGGATAGAGACGAGGGATGGGTATGATTACTCGAGTAGTCGTTGTTGTAGTCATTATTTTGAGTAAGGAGACACAGAGTGTTGCACTGCATAGTATAATGGTGACTGGAGATATATGTTCCCATTAAGTTTTGTGGGAGGAGAAGATTTATGTGAGCTGATGGTTTTTTGTTGAGCGTAAGTACAAGCTACCGTAACGGAGAACAACAGCAACAAGAGCAGCATAATTTAGGGCTGATTTGCAAAGTGTTGATAAAGTGGCTGTAGGTCAAGGTGGATGTGTGTATTTACCGGGGGCAGGTTGCGTCCGATGGGCGGGCTTCCCTCTGTCTCTGGTAGGTCTTCCTCAGAAGCTCCAGCTCTTTGCTGTAGCGCTGCAGCAGCAGTAGGTAGTGCTTCTTCAGGTCCAGACCAGCTGTTGGACCGGACTCGAACACTGCAAGTAGCTGCAGCATTCGCTCCGTCTGAAACACAAACAAATCACTATGTCAAAGGTCTGACCGCTGTTCTGTTCACCTCCACTTTAAACTTTAAATTTAAACAACATGAATCAGTGCTGAACTCACAGTGAGAGACTGTTGGAACCAAACGTCCAGCAGAGACTGAAGAGACTGGAACAAACCCTGAACCTGGAGCTGGAAGTCTGCATAGTCACTGTCAAACTGAAACACACACACACACGCACACACAAACCTTTTTTTCAGTTAATTGTTGGTTTTGGTAAAAAATCTTGTCCTTGAAAAAAAAGCAGCTGAAAATACTGAAGCAGACAGGCGGTGAAATAGCCTAGTTGGAAACATGATAACACATAAGATCTTTAAAATTATTTCTGATAATTACAAACAGGTGCTACTTATTCGTTCTATTTACACACTTACTATAGTTTTTATAAGTAGCATGTAATATTATTTATTTATTTATTTTATTATTTATCTACTGTTACCTCCAGCTTGCGGGGGTCCAGGATGTCGTATGTCTTGGACTTTGTTGTTGAGACTACGGTCTGATAGCGAACATATCTTCTCGATGCCCTCCACCTGGAACAAAAGCGTTTTCTTTGTCAGGTTCACAGATTTCTCCTAAGCTCCAATTTAGTAACAAACCATCCGGTTAAATCAGAAGACATGTTAGCTGATTAGAAAAGAAAAGACCTCCAGGTGAGGTTCAAGCTAAACTTTGCAGCTAAAACAACTTGATAACAACAGTGTAATATACAGTATGCAGTTAGAATTGGCATAGGGATATCTTTAATTATTCTCTGAAACAAAAGAAAAGCAGATTTTTGATTTCCCTACGTGCCCCTCAGAGCCTTTTCTAAATATCAGAGAAGGGACAATTATATAAGTTGCAATAAAAGATCCATGGTTAGACTTTTATGCCGATGATATCGTTATCTCTCAGTGAAAAGGTTGAATAACGAGCTCATAAACTACCCAACCTTCATGCTTTTCAGAGCAGCCAGGCTCTCAAGCGTGGTCGCCATGTCAGCTATTTTCTCCAGACGCCTGCAGAACGCGTCAAACTTCCCAAAGATGTAGTTCTCACTGCAAATAAGGGAACAGAGAAATAAGATGGCAAACGTTAACACTTCAGTTTCATCTGTTTTTTTTTGTTTGTTTTGTCTTTCTTGAGGGAAATTATCCGCTAAATAATTGGAATTAAGAAGAACCTATTTGGGGTACGATGTGAGAAAGTGGAGCTCTGTCGCTGCCTGCTTTGATTGGGAGCAGAGTATGTCCTCCTCTAGGGGCCCGTTTCTATTGCTAGTATAAAACAAATATTTTATAAACAGCCTTAAGATTACCTTTATAAAAGCTTGTGCAGGCTTTTAGGCCATTGTTCACTGGATCAATTTAGACATATTTTATGTGTGAGACTGATCAACTGAAAAACTAAAAAGTCATCAGATGAACTGTGTGACTGTGTGAGTTGCTGCTCAGAGTTTACCTGAAGTCAAACTGTCTGTTTTCAGGATTTTCTCTCAGTTTGTCTCTGATGCTCTGGAAGCTTCTCTGATACTCCTCATTCAGTTTACAACAGTCTGAGATACGTTGCATCAGCACGGGCCTGAGACACACAAAAATACACATTTTTTTTCTAATTCATTTGTATTGTAATGTAAACATGTGCGGTCTGAACAGGTGTACTGGTCCAGTACCTGCTGTGGTCCCAGATCCGAGCTGCACCCTGCAACAGGTAGCTCCTGCAGGAGCTGATCATCTGGTTGGTGACCTTAAGCAGCAGAGATGTCATCCTCTCTGAGGTGTTGTAGTACTGTGACACGGTGTGGATCATCCTGATGCTGGTCATTAGGCCAGGGATGTGCTCTAGGATACTAGTCTGCCGGGGAAGGGGGATATCATCATCGATTCAACATGTTTCTTGTAGTGGGGCAAATCTTTTTTTTTTATATCAAACAGATTTTCTCTGAAAATTTGCTCCCAAAGTCGCCTAGTAAGCCTTTAACCTCTCTGACAACACAATAATTGCTTCTTCTTACCGGAGTGCATTTCCCCAGAGGTCCCAAAAACTTGTCCAGAGTCTGCAGATACTTCACGTTGTCCTTGGCTTCGTTAGCAACAACAGTGATCTCCCCGTCCTTACAAAACCAACCGATCATGAAATTAGCTACAGAATCCTGTTATAAACTGAGCTAAACCTCATATGACTTATGATTCAGCTGACCAGTTCTTTCCAGGATTGTAGAGTTCGAGACCTGGTGACCTGCAGAACTCCCAGAGTCCTTTTCACCTGGAGACGCTTCACCTCCTCAATCAGACTGACAAACACACAAAAACACACACACACATACACAATGTTTTTCTTGCATTAACTTATTTGGAGTATTGTGTCTAGGTTATTATTTCAGATATAGACTGTCTTAACAGTCACTTCTTCATTTTAAGGAGCCCAGTCTACATAATGTAAAGAGAGACAGATCTATGACAGTGTGTGATATAATATAAATCTGTGTACTCTGTGTGTTAGAGTAGGTCAGTGTAACAGTATGAATCTGTGAATGTCAGAGATGGACTGTAAACAGGAAAAAAAAGAAGATGATCACTTGTGGATTGAAAATGAAGCACTGAAACGTGTGTGTCTACCTGTTAAAGGTGACCATACGTCTCTTCCAGTGCTCCAGCTCAGCTGATGGTCCCACGTCGTCGGCCTCTTTTCTTATCTGCTCGCTTTCCGTAAGCACCTGCTTGATCTGATTGGTCCACACTGACACCACGCCCTCCAAACGCTCCACCAGCTCTCTGTTATTCGCTGAGAGCAGAAGCAACAGCGTTTTTCTTTTTTCACAATTATTAATTTGACAACTGCAGTTGAGGCTTTTGGCACATTATTTAATTATTTATCTATTTTATTTATTTTACTTTCAAACACAATACATACTTAATGCAATAAACAACAATAAGAATGATGCCGTCCACAAAAAGTGGATCGTGGTTTTTTTGCATCCAGTGAACCTCGATTGTTTGTTTCAGTTTAGTGAATGTGTTAGGAGGAGATGAGGAGATCATTGGTTAATGTTAGCCAACTAGCATAAGTCGGGGGAAGTAAGCACGCTACATAAATCCATTTGTCTGTTTTCAGAGCTGTTCCCAATGACTGAATTTAAAATATAAGACAACAGCTGCTACCAGTGTCATTTCAGAGTGTTTGGAAATATTACTCATGATATGATACAGTAGAATGGTATCAGATTGAAAGAGTTGACTCTGGTTTACCCTCCTACCTGCTGCTGTGTAGTCTGCAGGGCTGCTCAGCTGATTGATGGCATCAGGAAGGTCGACCTGCAGCAGCGTGAACTTTCTCTGCATGCTGACTCTGGTCGAGCTCAGATTATTGATGAACTTGTCCACTGAAGACAGGAAGGACTGGACGTCTGGACAGGACGTGCCCTCCTGCACAGAGCCCCACGTCTGGAAACATTTTTAATGTAACAGCAAGGACAAAAAAAAGATGAGCATTGAAAATATATCTAAATCAAAATGAAGTTTCTGAAGAACATGGATAATAAAAGCATGCAATGAAAATGTTTTTTTATATCTGACAACCAACAGAAAACAGAGGGAACAGGTGTGCGTACCTGCTGTGATCGGAGGGCAGGTAACATGACGTGAGACAGCAGAGCTTCCAGACTGTTCAGGAAGCTGCCGTCACTGCAGTCCAACGAGCCGAAGTTCACCTCCTGCAGACAATGGGACAACACTCAGTCTCACTAAACAGGTGGAGTAAACAGTACTGTGCATCCTCCTTTATTTTCTGATTGTGTGGGACCAAACCAAGCCACTGACCTGCTGTATGTTAGCCGTGGTTATCGCCTTGTCGGTGGTCCTCAGGAAGAACAGACACTTCCCCAGTAAAGGCTGGAAAAAGCATACAGAGAGGGTGTTAAAGTTTTAGTTTATTTGGCGCGCTTGAGTCCAAAACTATGGCCAAACAATGAGGACAAAGAGCTGACAGTTTTTTGTTTGTCCTGAAAAATACTATCATCTAACATCAACTCAAAAGTCTTCATTATTTATGGACCATCAGTGGTGCCAATCGAATGGTTTGTTGGCTGCCTTTTTTTTATTTCATAGTTTGGCATTTGGGCTGTCTTGAGATTTTTTAAGCCAGAAGTGACCATATTTGTAATGAAGAGAGAAAATAGTTGTCAAAAATGAATTAAATATATTGCCACAATAACTCAACACCTAGATCAGAATTGCACAATTATTTGCATGTAGATTTTTAGGAGGATCCAGATTGATCCAGGAGACACTCTACTCTCTTGTCAGACTGGTTTGTCAGTTTTCAGAATGTGTAATGTATACTGAAGGTGTTTGTTATCACCCTGCTAACCACCAAACAGAGCAGCACACAGGATTTTCTTCCATAGCAACAAATAAACAGACTCAACCAGAGTCGTTATTGTCTCTGAGGAAGAACAATGGTGGACATAAGAAAGGAGAGTGAAACTGAATATATATATATGTTGACAACTCCACAGAGAGATCTGCTGATTGGTTGGATCACACCTACCTCAGAACTGCCTGTAGTTATGAAGAGTTTCCTCTGAGCCACAGCAGAGGGCGCTACATTCACAGCTGAGGCAAGACTGGAGTAAGGATTCTGGAGAGAGAGAACAAAGAACAGAGAGAGAGAGATGGAAAGAGGGAAGGGAGAGAGACACAAACATACCGTATCATTCAAGAACAGTACAGCTCATATGCCCTAAAGAAATATCATAAACAAATTACACTGAGATACGCACCAGTGAGTTTTCAAATAGTTTAGTTTGTGTTGAAGAACAAGCGAGACACAGCAGAGAATAAGAAAAGATTTACTTTTACCATTCATACAGGGGGAAAAGTTACCTGTTTCAAACTCTGGTAGAAGAATATCAGCTTCCTGGATCCATTTACAGCAAAGAAGTCATCAATCAAGGTAAACTTGAAGAAGGAGAGATGATGAATCCACTAACTCATGAACAAGAAGAAGAAGTCAAACATCACGTCTCTCAGTTGGTAGTTATTATCTTGCTACCTTGTCATCAGAGAGGAGGGCGTCTTCCACCTCCGGCTCCCCGAGTGTCCCAGTGTCCACCAACCTGTTGATCAGATATTTGTGCCGAGCATCCAGAGTCGCTCGTCTCTCCTCCTTCACTGCTCTGGCCTGCTTCGCCATCTCTCTCCTCGCCTCATTGGACAACAGCTGCATCCTTTTACCGGACACCTGGAGACAAATCCGAGTCCCCCGAGTCATATCTCTGATCACAGCAGCTTTCAGAATATTCAGGGGGGCACGCTAGTTTCTCTTTGCCTTTGTCTCCAGATGTTTTCAGTACAAACAAAATAAGAACACATTTAGGCTACATATCAACACTTTTTTATGTATTTTGAACTTGTTTTCAAAGGTTTCCAAAAGATTGTTTGCAGGATATCACTCTCTCTTTTACATCTATTTGTGGTCTCCCTCATAGTCTAAAGAAAATGTGTTTCTACTGCTTAATGCCCCAATGTTAACACAACCAGGCTCATTGAAACAGTATGCACACAAACTATGAAATAATACTCAAGGTGCAATTATATTTTATAAGCAATATTTAATATTTGTACTTCAATGCTACACACCGGTCATGTGTGGTTGAGCAACAGTCGCAGGTTTTAAATGTCAGCATCCCCGCTCTCTCACAGTGAATGTTGCTGAATATTTCCTGCTGCGTTCTCACGTCATCTCGTCTCTGTAATGTATTGCTATAGCGCTGGGAGCACTATTGTGAAGTACGACCCTGAATTCAAGCGGGAAAAATAACCAGGGGGCTGGCAGGAAGGGTAAGCTGACCCTTCAGGAAGTTTTCAGGCGTTTCGTGCAGGTGTAAAAACATGACACTGCAGGGTGTCTGTATAAGACTCTAAAGACCCAGAAATAAGAGCTCACTGTTTAAGAATTGAACTGGCACTGTTCATGTTAACTCACAGAGGTGCCAGCAGTGGAACATGTGGCAGCTGCAGCAGGAGACATGGGATGATTGGCCCTCAGGTTCTGATTTCCTATTCGCCGGTGACCTCCGCCATTCACATCTCAGAAACATACAAATCACTCAAAACATGTAAAAGTCAAATACTTATTCCATTTGTTTTTATTAATAACTGTTAGGAGAGAAAAAATAAATAGATGAAAAACTATAAAAACAAATATATAAAGCAGAATGCCAAACTCAGGTCAACAAACCATCAGGGGACTTTGACTTGAGTTTGAATGAATTGCTCAATGTCTCTACCTCTACGGAGGTTAAGCAGAGGAGGTCTGGGTTTGGTCATCTCTCTGTCTGCTCCTCCTTCTTTCTCCTCCTCCACCTCATCATGGATTCTCTGCTCCTCTGCCTGGAGCTCTAAGTTTGGTGAAGGAGCACAGCCATTGATCTCAGGTTCAGAGCTGCCAGGGGGGAGGACCTCATCTGAAGGTTGATGATCTGCCATCTGGATGAATATAGTTTCACTCATTTGTTTGTTTTAGAAATGTATTTTATTGTGTTATTTTATCTTCCATATAACGGCAAATGAATTATTTTTAATACACACATTTTTTTGAGACCTCTGCATCCTCTGAGATATTTTTTTTTTACCTCGGAAAACCTGAAGAACACAAACCTGACACTTATTTAAAGGTACAGGGATGTTTTCACCTTCTCTCATTGTAAACAGGTGAGTTACTGTTTCATTTAAGGTACTGCGTCTTCAGGAAACATTAGAAATCAAAACTGATAAAAAAGAAAAACGAAAAGGAAGAAAATAACGCTCAGATAATCCACAAGATTATTTTGATTGCTTTCACCACTAGGCTATACAAAAGCCTGATGATGAAACTTTGTGACTCATCTCAGTCTCTTTTGGATTGCATTCTCTCACATCACAAAACTTGATGTTTGAGGTAGAAGGTGGAGTTGAAATCCTCATAATAAACAACCTGAACCTGTTGCCTGAACTGCCTGAGTAGCTTACCCTTGAGCTACAGACTGACCTTCTGGATCTGCAACTCTGTAAAAAAAAAGAAGAGCACTGACTGACCTGCGTGTTGACCGACCTGCTGAAGAGTCAGAGTCTGAGGACGACTCCCTTCTGCTGGAAGAGTCAATAAGACAGAGAGAGAGACGAAGGGGCAGGAGGAGGTAAATCAAAACTGGCTCTGCGAGTAAAAGTTTGACTGTTGCCATGGTAACCCTGCCATGTTTAGTGGGTGTGTTGGTGTGTGACTGTGTTTGTAAGTGACTGGGCAACCAGAAATACAACAAAGCAGCGTCTTAAGTGAAAAAAAAAGAGAAAGTCATGTAATCAGTACAATGACAGGACTTTTATTTTGTTAAGTCCTTGTATTTCACAGGAAATGGGTTGACAATGTTTAATGAAGGAGTCGGACTGATATTAATTCTACCAGAGGGGAACCGTCAGGGCCCTTTAGACCCTCAGAGAGGATCTAAGTATTTCAAAAAAGAATATTTGAAAAGTCATCAGATGTTTTTGTTTTTTTAATCAATTCATAATTTGACAATCAACATATAAAACAATTCTGAGGGAGAAAATTAACCCTTCAGTGAAAGAAGGGCCAATTTTTCACCCAATCAGAATTTATCCACTTCTGCTGTCACTATGCAGAAAATGCTTTACTTTCTTCTCTGTGTTTGGTGGTCCCGCTATATAATTACTGAGTAGTAATTTATAGAGAGAAGGATTTCAAATGAACCAATCACATCTTGTATCTTAGTGAGCGGGCTTCATTATCATTAACTTTATGACAAGCTCCGCCCACACCTCACGCTTGCTTACAGTTTGCCAAATTAGACTTCCTCCCAGCATGGAAGCCAATAGTTCCTGAGGAGGACAAAGCAGTAGATTTATAATCAGCACTGTTTTCTGGATTAAATTTGAAGGTTGGCGTTAATCTGTAACGGAAGACTAACATGTGAGTTTAATGTGGTGCTGACAACAAAGACTCAGCGAGGCAATTCATCTCCAGCATTTAAAAGTGACAACTAACGGGGACTATATTTTCAGGTAATGGAATCATAATGACAAACATTCAGCCAGATTACACTAAACTGAAAAAATTCACACTATGCAACATTTAGCATATTAAGTCTAAATCCCTTCAAACAGAGCCTTTAGCTGCAGACTCTCACATAGACCAGAAGCAGGTGGGTTTACTATACTGGCTCTAGTACCTTGGTTATCAACTGGTGGGTCCGGACCCAAAAGTTGGACCCAGAGCCATTTTCAGTGGGTTGCAGATTTGTGCCTGGTAAAATAAAAAGTTATGGAAAGAGTCTTTGCTGTGTTTTTATACCGAAGGATATGTTTTCCATATGATGCAGTATACATGCTACATTGCAGCAGCGGACATGACACGAAACAGCTGTCGGTTTTTATCGCAGCTTGTTTCTTATCAGTTTGGTCAGACCAGCCTTTAAGTGAAATCTTCATGTTCTACTTTTTTACAGTGTAAGATTTGTATATTCTCCCAGCTTCTTACATCACTTAAGATATGTGATGTTTACTTAGATACATACAAGATACAAAAAAAAAAACATATCTAAAAATGTTTGCCACATGAGCTTCCTGTCCCAAAATCCCCTTATTTGATTGCAATGACCAATATGGCCTCCAGGAGATGCTGGCAGCACTGCATGCTGTCAGTGCTGGGAAATAATTTTATCTAATGACGACAAGGATGCAAACCTATCACTTGTTCATTAAAGATTCAGCTTAAAACGATTAAATGTTAATAAATGCAGATACATTTAGTCCGGCTTGGTTCTGAATAGTTTTCTCAATCTGCTCCCAGAAAAAAAAGAAAACAGACTCAGACAGGAGAGAATTATTTCTGTACCAGCTGACCGAGACAGCAGCTGGACATATCTCTCACACAGACACACACACACACGTTCCACCACTGAGTTGACACATCCCACAGCCTTCACTCTAACCTTACAAGAAGTCTTAACTCTCAAACTACCTTTATAAATGTGAGGATCAGACAAAGTGAAAAGCTGGTGCTTAAACATTAAAGTAGCCGATTTCTGCTGCAGACTGATTGTGTGACTGAACATGAGTCTGCTGAAAACCTCGTGTTTCAGAGGCAGAGAACAAAGAGCCACGCGATGGAGAATAGATCCACAGAAAGCAGACATGAGACAAGCGTTTCTTTTCATTGTCAGCGTTGGCTGCTGCAGCTCCAAAATTAATCCTCAACACAAACAGAACTGCTGGGAAATCAACTCTCACACGCACAGAGCTGGCGACAGAGATTAACATGCATTCTCTCTCTCTCTCTCTCTCTCTCTCTCTACTCTCTGATGTCGGTACAGTCAGGAGACTTTGGTCAGAACAAAAAGTCAACTTTCACATTTCATTAAATGCATTGAGCAGATTTAACACTTTCAGTACAGCATATACTTCCAGGAGTAGAAATGTTTGGTCCTTTTAAAAAAGCTTTTTTTAACCAATTGTCAAAGTTTTCTGCAGAATTTAGGAAATGTTTTGCTTAATTACAATGAATAGGAATGCAATGAAAGCTCTTAGTTGTCAGAAACATTTTTGAAACACCATCTAGTTTTGATAACTATCTTAAGTTTAGAAAATCTCATGATTTGTGTTGCCATACTTATGTGTTTAATATGAAAAGAAGTGTCAGGTTATTGAGTAAAATATGTTAAAACCTGAAACAGACCACGTCACACCAGGCAGGCAGGCATCATTCTTTAACATCACCAACAACAAAATCCTGATAATGAAACCCGTCAACGTTCTTGTTTTGCCACTGGTGGGCGGAGAGGCTTTTACTAAGTTTTGTAAAACTCTACAAAACAGTAGTTTACAGATATACAGCTTTTATATGGAGATTTCTGTGCTTTTCAGAAACAGCCATTACTGTACACCACTCTGTTCACACCTACCAGACTTGAAAACATCATTTTTACCTTCAAGAACACTGGATGATCTAGCATCAAACTAAATGGTTTCTTTGTTTGTCTTATTGAGTGACTCTTGGGTTTTAAATTCCAAGAATGTGTAACACATAATAACTTAACCTAAATGAAGGCACAAGAAGATCAGCAACTCCCCAAAAAAAACCAAAACTATGTACCAGTATGTGTAAACACAGAACACTTGTAACACTGTAAGGATTTGAAAGAAGCAACGTTTATTGAAAGCTCTCGTCAGCCACATTAGACCGATCAAATGTACAAAAATCTGTTTAGAAAACAACGAACACACTCGGACACCAAACAGTACAAAAAGTAATGATCAGGATTTTGTCAAGTGAAAAAAGCACATCTCTGTACTTACATGTAAAGAAAATCATCAAACATGCCTTATTTGAGTTGTGACATCATCTGCATCATATTCATGGTATTAAATGAAATTACGAGTCATTTTTATTGACTGTCACAAAAACATTGTGTGTGTTGGTTAGCATTTATTTTTGAGATTCCTTAAAACAATATGATCAACAGGTCCTAAAGCTACATCAACAAAATGATCAATGGATAAGGTTAAGTGTAGACACAAAGATCTACATGGTGAAGAGTTAGACAGACTGAAGAGATGACTTTGGTAGGATACTGAAAAAGTTGAACACAATTTCTGTTCCAATTTGGGATTCCCTAATTTCAGAAGTAATTAGGGATTTGTGTATTTTTACTCTGACAAAAATACACAGAGTGTTAAAATGCTACAGGTTGTTGAAGTTTGTTTTAACCTTTGAGCCACTTTATTACCAAATGGAAAAAGATGAATCATTCCAAACAGAGCCTGATCGATATATCACTCAGCTAAAAGTGTTGGCCTTTCATAAAAATATCAGTACACGATCTTATAAGCGCCAAAATGAAAACTGTTTGCAGATCATACAATGCAGAAACAAGTCCTTCAGGTGATAATGGTGAAAATGATGTTATGACAAAGTATGTCCAGAAGAAGGTACTCTGACTTACCCGCAATTTCCACATAGTACTCTATGGCCACGACTTTGCTGCCCCATTGGGTTCTGAAGCGTGATGTCGCTGAACACAGGGTTTCACAAGAACACAGGAGAACTACAAGATCACACGGGAATAAAGGGAAGACATGCAAACATGTTGCTTTGTCTTTCTGAGGATGATTGGCTGTTCATTCTGTGCCTGTTTTGACATAATGTTGATAAAGATGGAATATACGATTGGGAGTCTTTCAAGTGTGTTTTAGTGTGAAATTGACAGGATGCTCTGTGCGCTCTCCGTCAAAACCAGACTTGATGCGTACTTGAAACAGAGCGGAGTGGAGCGATGCGTGATGTGAAAACAGGATGATTGATGATTGATTAGAGGGGCAGGGAAAAGCGTTGTATTGCATGGCACTGACTGACCGCGGCAGGCACTATTTGTTACAATCCTCTCACCACTGTCAGCAAAACCAGCTGAACATCACAGTTGAACAGACACTGGTCTGAAATAAAGTATTTCAATACTGAATATTTTATTATTATATTATTTATTTGAGGAAGTTCTTTGTTTAGGTAAGCAGCCTTCTTGGGAACTGGGCGACATCTCATTGGTGCAAGATCAGCTCACAATTTTGGTGCTTAACTTCAATCCATATTGGTAAGGCTCAAAAATCCCAAACCGACTGGGCTCTAATTTCTCTGTAGATATTTGGAATTGAAAAAAATTGTCCTCTGTAGATTAAGGAAAACATCCAACAACTATTTCTCTTAGGGATGTTTGTCGATTACTTTCTAAATTATTTTAAAAGATATCAATCCTATGCAGCACGAAAAAAAGTATTCCTGTATCTAACCCGTCTATAAAGCACCTCGGAAGGTAGTAAGGGTAGTTATGTAATCTTCAAAGCTGTGGCAAATGAAAGATAATTTTCTAACTAAAGTACTGAAAAATTAAACGATCTGAACTCCACTAATTCTAGTTTGACCTCCACTCTTGGTCCTACTGGTTTGTGAATACCGCATGGTAACTCTACCAGGGCTCTAAGAGTTTGACAGGTCTTTGTTTGCTCTCCTTACTCAATGATCTCGTCATCTTCGTCCTCAAAGTTCTCGTCGCCGTCGTTGGCGGTGGCCTCCTGGTACTGCTGGTACTCAGACACCAGGTCGTTCATGTTGCTCTCCGCCTCTGTGAACTCCATCTCGTCCATGCCTTCGCCTGTGAACCAGTGCAGGAAAGCCTTTCTGCGGAACATGGCCGAGAACTGCTCAGAGATCCGCTTGAATATCTCCTGGATGGCCGTGCTGTTGCCGATGAACGTAGCAGCCATCTTGAGCCCTCGGGGGGCGATGTCGCAGACGGCCACCTTGACATTGTTGGGGATCCACTCAACGAAGTAGCTGCTGTTTTTGTTCTGAACATTCAGCATCTGCTCGTCCACTTCCTTCATGGACATTGGGCCACGGAAGACGGTGGCAACGGTTAGGTACCGTCCGTGACGAGGGTCGCAGGCCGCCATCATGTTTCTGGCGTCGAACATCTGTTGGGTGAGCTCGGGAACGGTCAGCGCTCGATACTGCTGGCTTCCCCGTGCCGTCAGAGGAGCAAATCCCGGCATGAAGAAGTGAAGTCTGGGGAAAGGCACCATGTTGACAGCCAGCTTGCGCAGATCTGCGTTCAGCTGCCCGGGGAAACGCAGGGAGGTCGTCACGCCGCTCATTGTGGCCGACACCAGGTGGTTGAGGTCTCCGTAGGTGGGCGTGGTGAGTTTAAGAGTACGGAAGCATATGTCATAAAGGGCCTCGTTGTCGATGCAATAGGTCTCGTCTGTGTTTTCAACCAACTGGTGGACCGACAGGGTGGCGTTGTATGGCTCCACCACGGTGTCTGACACCTGGAGGGATCAGAAAGAAGGTCACATTTGTGGAGATTTTAAAGTTTGATGGAAAAACTCAGGACAGAAGGAAGGCAAATCATACTGAGGACAGAACATTGGTTAAAAGAAATTCTCTGAAGGAAGAGTTTTGTGTTCTTGAGAAGGAGTTAAGTGATGAAGGTAAGCAGGATAAGAGGGAGAGGGATGTCAAAAAGACACAACATATAAAATAAGTATTGGAATCCATCCGTGCTGTGTTAAACCCTGGTTGGTTTGTTCTCTGATACCTTGGGTGAGGGCATGACGCTGAAGGTGTTCATAATCCGGTCGGGGTACTCCTCTCTGATCTTGCTGATCAGCAGGGTGCCCATGCCCGAGCCGGTGCCACCTCCCAGAGAGTGAGTCAGCTGGAAACCCTGCAGGCCGAATTTCAGATGGAAACAGTTTGATTCAGCATACAGGCCAAAAATGCTTAAAAAAACATGTTGCCATCCACCCAACATGCTCTTGGGTGGATGGATGTGATGGATGTGAGGCTTGAGCTGAAAGGTGCACTAGCATGGTTAGCAAAGTTCATCCATAATTCAGTCTGTGCACACCACAAACTGAGCTTTTAACTCAGCCAAACCCCAATTTCTAGTCACCTGTAGACAGTCGCAGTGCTCACACTCCTTCCTCACTATGTCCAGGACCGAGTCCACGAGCTCCGCCCCCTCTGTGTAGTGACCTTTGGCCCAGTTGTTCCCCGCACCTGTCTGACCTGCAGACAACCAATCAGAGGAGAGAAACCCATCAGAGAAATGTAAAACGATCACCCCAGCAGATGGGAATGTGAGCGCAGACGCACACTCGTCTGGTGACCCATTTCTGAGCTGGAGGACAGCGGGATCGGGGAGCTGTGTGTGTGTGTGTGTGTGTGTGTGTGTGTGTGTGTGTGTGTGTGTGTGTGTACATGCACGCATTTACAAGATGACAGAGGGAGATCTATAACCTCCCTGCTTCTTCTCCTCATGGATGTCAGTTTATCAAACAAACACTGGAGGTATTAAATTCTGTTTACTGAACACATTAAATTCTGGAAAGTTTCTTTGCTGCTCCCGATCTGTCTTCTGCAAACCCACAAACCTCCTCACAAATATTAACCTTTAAAGTGTGCGACAGAAATGATTCGTGTCTATTTCTGTCTACTGTAATGTCATTTTTCAGATTAACATTTAATAATCTGTAAAATCTTGAAACCTGAAGGTTATGAAACTTAATTAACCTTAAATAAGTAAATATATAAGGACTGTTTATTGTGAAGTCACAAATTCTAAGGCAGATTTTTGAGGCATGTTTTTCCTTTGTTTTACACCACATGTACTTTGATGTAAAAGCAAAAATCTGTTGTCGTAGCATCAGACTTCATTGTCTTTTAAAGTCATGTCTTGCCTCCTGAGACCCCCCCCCCGGCGACCTGTCTGAAGTTTTCGAGGAAGTTTCAGCGCTTGTGTGAAAAGGGCATAAGCTTCATAATAAACCCATGAGTAAATCTGTTGAGAAAGGGAGATGACTTTTACCAAAGATAAAGTTGTCTGGTCTGAAAAGTTGTCCAAAGGCTCCTGAGCGCACACTGTCCATGGTTCCTGGTTCCAGATCAACCAGCACAGCCCGGGGGACGTATTTATGTGCTGCACAAACAGAGAAAAGTCATTACACTCTAGATTTGACAAAACAACATATTTTGGTTTTAATTCATCAAAGCCTTTTCACTCAGAAAACACCAAAAAGGATCTGATGAGTGTATCTCTGCACTCACATTCCCATCTGCTGTGCTGGTTCTGTTTATCATTAATCAACAGTTTAACTCATTATTCAATTATGTAAATAAAGGCCAAGATACTCCGGATACAAGTTATACATGGGGTGAAATGTGACTCACTTTCAAGGGGAAACTTGAACCATTAACAGTCATTTACAGGAAGTGACTGACAGTGAGACACACACACACTCACACCTCTGCTGATATACATGGTACGTACAGGACGCCTCATTGTAGTAGACGTTGATTCTGTCCAGCTGCAGAGACGAGTCGCCCACGTAGCTCCCTGCCGGGTCGATGCCGTGCTCATCGCTGATCACTTCCCAGAACTGAACGATTTCAAGTAAGGCAGCAGCATGAAATAAATAGAAGATGAAAAAGATTGGAGAGTTCCTGCCTACATGATGCGTTCACTGACACATTGCAGCTCTACTTTTTGGACATGTTTGAGATCCAGCAAACGTGTCTCCAAAAATGGAGGGCGGGGCTTAATCATAACTGTGCACTGCCAAATCTCAAGTATAAGCAAATGTCTTTGTCTTTCCTGTTGCTCAGAGTGTAAAGAGTGCACAAGGACGTCAATGATCCTCAACAGTGTCCTATACTTTTAACAGTTCTGCTTCATAGTTATTCTCCCACTAATGTTTAAGAAGTGAGTCACTGCTGAGTAACAACATCCACACAGCTTCATCACCCAGAATCCTTTGTGCTTACAGCGTGTGACCTAGTTGCTGTTCATGGAGCACCTGTAAACGTTCTTATTTCACATGTCAGTGTTCACTCCTTGGACTTTCAGCCCACAGAACTCATGCTGAAATAGTCGTGTGATTGGTCAGAGCGTCTGTGTGTGAGTCTGTGTGTGGCAGAGAGAGAGTGTGTGTCCAGATTCCTTGAATAGTCTCACAGTAGCTCTGAGTTCTTTCACTCCTCCACACTTCTGTGATTAGTTTAACAGAGAGCAGTCGACGCTCAACAGATACTCATTCATTCATTCTGATTGTAAACTGCAGCAGCATTTATCTATAACTGTTTTGATAGAAATAAAAAGACATCAAGTTCAAAATGACAACATTAAATTTAATTTTAAAACCTGTTTCTTTAAGTTAAAAATTGTAGTGGTCCAGTTTTTCTGACTGAACTGGATTCAACAACATTTTTATGTGAATGCATTGATTTGAATCTAATGCAGTCAATTCAGATCTAAATAAAGGGTAATTCTCGGATGTATAAACCTTGGCACTAATATCACTTCATTTAGGGTATAGAACACAAACAAACATATTAGAATCACTCTTGGGAATTTCTGCAGAAGGATATACTGAAACAAGCGTGAACATATGCTCCCCATAAAGTCAGACGCTTATGAGAACAATCTGAGTCTGTCAAAGACAAAGCCGTTTAACAGAAAAAGTTTTGATCAATCGAGCATTATGTTGCAGACATACTAGTGAAGGATGCACACATCTACTGGAGACATTACAAAAAAAACTTATTTTACACTCAAATTAAACATTAGATTTTTTTTTTTATTAAGTTTAGCCTTGAACTGAAGGGTTTGTCTTTTTTCTAATTAATTCAGGTTGTTTAGGACAGATGGTTGTCATGTCATACCAAACATAAATGTGGGTTCTATGGTAACATCATCTCAAATAAAGGTCAGTTTGGATGATCGTTGAAAAGTTATTGTGTTCCAGCAGAGAAGTGTTAGATGAATTTGATTTTTGAGCCAGAAAATATTTTTAATTTTCTTTTAAGAACTGATAACTCTCAGTTTATTAGTGTTACAGAGAATACTAACTATATGCAGGCAAAATACAGGAACTTCTGCAGTGATTTTTAAAATGCACTATTTTCTAAAAACAATTCAAAGTTGAGGGATAACTTTTATCCAGATCTGTACCTTAGTCCCGATCTGGTTCCCGCACTGTCCGGCCTGGATGTGAACGATTTCTCTCATCTTTCTTGTCTCTGTTGGTGTTTCTTTCTCCGGTGGTCCTGAGGTCTGTCAGTGCTTCTCTGCTGTGTGCCGCTGTGTATCAGCAGCTTCACCTCCTCCCTCCCTCAGGTCACATGTGTCCACGTGACCCCTCCCTGAGGGGCCAGCCTCGGGTCCATTCAGCATAAAGACTTTGTCCTATTGCCCCCACAGAAATACTTTCTGCTACCACTGCCATGGGCGTGCTAATGGGTCTGTCGACCCGGGACCCCAATGGAGAAAAAAACCTGCTGTTTGTGTTTGGATTTGTTTCTCTCCAAGTCAGGACCGTCAGGGTAAACACAACATTTACTAAATATAACATGGTTCTTAACTCTGAAAATAAATAAAAAACAATTGTGAAAACCTTTAGACGCTTATTAAGGGTCTGAGGGTACACATTGTAAGAGCCATGTACATGTTTTTGGGTCACGCTGTAAAGTATATTCATTATTGTACACTGGGTGTCGCTGTCTTAGGGCAAAGGTATATAGGTACGTCACTTGTCAAGGTATAGGATGTGTTTGACCCCGGAAGGGCATATGGCTTTTGACTGCTGTGGCGACAGGCGGCATGGAGAAACTGCAGCTGTATTGTTTGTTTGTTTGTTTGTTTTGCTCAATAAACGGAAACGGATGGACGCTGTATTCCCTTCGCATGGTGCTGCAATAAAACGAATTGTATTATGCTGCAAACCAAAGACACGCCTGCAGAAATGTTGTTGAAACAACACACAGCAAAGGAACCAGGAAGTGAACATTCAAAGATTTGATTGGCTGACTGTGCTCAACCACAGCATTATGGATGGCTTCTCAGGTGAGCAGGTCTTCAGGGGGATGAAATGCAACCCAACGTCTGCAACACGTTTTTACAGTCGAGGAAAGGGGTGGGGCCAATAGCCGATGGGAGGGGCTTTTACTCAAAGTTATCATGAATTGTTCTTGGGATTACAACGCTGGTATTCCGACAACAAGTTAATTTATTTTGACCTCAAGAAACCTGCTGGGGCACCGGTGGCTTAGTGGTTAGTTTGCCCACCCCGTGTACTCAGGCTGCAGTACTCAAGCGGGTAGACAGGGGTTTGAATTTCATTCCCCACTCTCTCGCTCCCTGATATCTGACTCTATCCTCTGTCCTAACTTTTAAATAAAGGCATAAACCCCCCAAAATGAATCTTGTTAATAAGAATAAAAGTACTAAAATGAACTTGTCTAAAAAAAAATCAACAGTTTTTTCTTCAAATGACGAGCTAAACAACCGATATTTAGGCAAAAGGGAGTTGTTAGAAATGTATTGCTGCATGTCCTCTCATGGCTTCTGTACTGGGGCAGCACGTGCAGAGAAATCAGGAGGGAGCGTGAAGGGTTTTTCTGCTCTGTAGACCACGAGGCAGACTTTCCCACACACAGACGATGAAGCTTTACGGTCAGCTGCTGCAGAGTCAGTTTACACAGAATGATAAAGCAGGAATTCATCACAGATCCTCTGCTCACTGCTGACCTCTGAAGGAAACAGCTGTAGGAACGCCTTCTGTTCTTAAAGGTCACATATTACCCTCCGCTTCAACAAGTTTAAATAAGTCTCAGAGCTCCACAAAACATGTCTATAAAGTTTCTTGTTCTAAATCCACTCTGATCCAGTATTTCATCATGCCTATAAACCCCTCTATTTCAGCCCTGCTCTGAACAGGCTGTTTTTGTCTAAAGCTTTAAATGTAAGTAAGCTGTATCCGACCACGACCCTCTGGAAAAAGATGTAGCTTGGGTTTTCTTGCACCATGCACCTGAGGTGGATGACCTGATTTTAATCCAACTTTATAACTGTCTTTTGAGTAAGCCGATTTCAAGATTTGATGAAATCTAAATACTTCAATGTGATCAGACAGGGAATAGACTGATCTTTATTCATACACTTGATTTGTAGACCATTTTTAGATTCAAAGCTCACAAAGTTTCTCTTCGCATCACATACTTATTGTAACAGCTCAAATTTAAAAGTAAAACCTCCAGAAAACCAAGTCACAGCAGAAAACTTGCCTAAACACAGAATAAAGACATTTAGCATGAACAACCCAAGGCACACAACATGAATGTTAAAAATTAAAGTCAAAATATAAACAACAACATCATCTATCATCAAAATATGGTTGATCAAACATCAAATACATCTATCGAAAAAGCCGTCATATGATCATAATATCTAAATGTTTGGATAAACCACCAGAGGCACCATTCTACAAAACCACAACCACCCCAACAAACCATTAAGATTATCACCATTCATGGAAGTTTCAATAAATAGGATTAATGTCAAATCCATGTGATTGGTATCCATGTGGTCTATTTGATAAATAAGGCTCGGGGGGGAAATTGTGACTTTCTGATCATATTCTACAAAGAACAGTGAATAAATGTATTATGTGAAAATAGTATTTACAAAAACCAGATAAACCAAGTGTGCCGTCTTCGACACAAAACATATTAAGTCACAATTCACAACATTGCATTTAACAAAAACGAATATTTCAGCCCTTTTTCAAAGCTTTACATTACACTGTGCCAGCACCACAATGTTTTTATTGTCTCTTGATAAAAGTTAGAACAATGCAACTTTCTTATATTGAGCACCATTCATTCATACATATAGATAGCCTTCTTCATAGAGTCTAAAAAAAACTGAGCATTAAAAACAACATTAAGTAAAACAGAGATATTACAAAATACATTAAAATAAAAGTACAGCAATCATGTATTTGACTTTTTAATCACCTGCACACTGTTGAATGTAAACTCCTGCTTAGGCGTAAGTCTTCTCTCCTGAAGTATCTTTTAACATGAAGTATCTCCCTGAAACGTCCTTGAGGATTTTACCGAAGCACAAATTCTGCATTTACAGATATAAAACCAAAATGTAGCCTAAGTGTTGTTCACTAACCTCACCTGAGTCTCCGGCAGCAGAGTTTTGGCGTAAGTCACATTGTGTCGTCAATCAATCGTCGATCATATGGATCGAAAAATCACGAAACAACCAATTAAAATTATTGTTATTATTATTATTATTTTTATTTATTTATTAATTATTATTATTATTATTATTATTATTATTATTATTATTATTATTATGTAAATATGTTAAACACACACACTTGCGCAAACACTATAAAACAATAAATATGGTTTTTATTTTGTCTTATATTTGAGATATTCTTTAGATTATCTGATTATTAATCTTGTTATAATTTCATTATCGGTAATTATTGTGGTTTCTATTGAGGTTATATGGTTTGGAATTATTACTATTAATCATTATTATTATTATTATTTGTTACAAGCTTTGTCAATATTGTCACATTTATGCCAATAAATGTGTTAAAAAAAAAAAAGGAAGTATTATCTCTGGTTACTGTTTCCGTCGGACCTTTGTTACGGGCGGACCGGACGGTGCGTTTTGAAAAACACCCCCGCCGAAACACAAGCTGACAACACTCTCACAGCTTTCAAATCTGGGTAAAAGTTTCGAGTTTAAAGTCAACATGAAGTTTCGAGGGAAAATCGTCGACATAGCGTGCCTCAACCATTTCAGCCGTGAGTGTTTCTACAGGTCACAGAAACGTTTTAAAGATGCGGTGAAAGACTTTGTTTTGAACTTGTGGCGTGTGAATCATCAAGTCTCAGGTTAATCGACAGTAAAACATCACATTAAGTTTGTTTATTGTGTTTCTCTGACTGAAGGTGTAAAGTACCTCAACATTTAAGATAAGCCAAACGTCGTGGAGTTGAAGTACATTGTTGTTTTTGTTGTAGAAAATAGATATTCAAGTAAAGTAACTTAAACGATGTGTTTGGAGGGATATTCTCGCATGAATGAATGAACCGAGTTCTGCTACGATCCTCTCATTCAGTGACTTACAGACAGCAACCCATGCTTTGACTACTGCAATTCTTCTTAAGCCAGTCGTCCCTGTCCCGTCTGCAGCTGGTCCGAGAAGAGGGAGCACATCAGTCCTGTCCTCGCGTCCCTTCATCGGCTCCCAATAAGATTCAGAATCGAGTTTAAGATTGTGTAGTTTGTTTTTAAAGCCCTGAATGGCCTGGCCCCTCTTTTTATATTACCAACCATCTAGGCGCCTGAGATCATCAGACGTGGGGCCTCCTGGCTGTTCCCCCACTCACGGCTCAAACTAAAAAGGGAGACGGGGCCTTTTCAGTAAAAGCCCCTAAACTGTGAAAACAGCATCCCTCATTCAACCAGGTCTGCCCCCTGTGTTGACTCTTTTAAGTCCCGTCTCAAGACACACTTTTATATTTTAGCATTTGAGTCCCCTGGCCCTGAATAGACCATTTCTTTCAGGTTCCTTTGTTGCTTTCTTTTTATTTGTATATATGTAAACATGTATATATTTCTCTCTTGTGGACGTTGTGATCTGACGTTGTTTTTTCTTTTTTAAGGTATTGTACAGCACTTTGGTCAGCTGTAGCTGTTTTTAAATGTGCTTTATGAATAAATATGACTTGACTTGACTGACTTGACTTCAAGGCTCTGATTGTTTGGTTGTAGATTCATCTTCTCTGCTCTTCCTCGTCCTCACAGGAGTCATCACCACCATCTCCAAGCTCACCAAAATGTGCGTCCTGCGGCTGACTTCCGACAACCTGTTCTTCGTTTTGTCCGAGAAAGTGGCCAACGGAGGGGTGAGCATGTGGTGTGAACTGTCTCAGGTAATTCTTTTTTAAAAAAATTTTTGTCTTGTCTTGCCTCACCCCGCAGACCCAGAGGTGTGATGTGTGAACAACCAGATCAGGCACATTTCAGGAACAATCCCCCCCCCCCCAAAATGATCGAGATGATTTTCAGTAATGCATACCTGATCGTCTGTGTGTCCTTCAACTCTGCAGGCCAACTTCTTCGATGAGTACCAGATGGAGGGCGTGTCCACTGAGGACAATGAGATCTGTCTGGAGGTGACTCCGGAGAATCTGTCCCGGGCCCTGAAGACAGTCCAGAACGCCAAAGCCGTCAAACTCAAGCTGACCAAGAAGCACTGCCCCTGTCTCACCATCGCTGCCGAGCTGGTGAGACTGAACACAGGACTTTAAGAAAGCTCACCAGTAACATAAACACAGTCAATTATTACTTTATCTTCATTGTTAAATATCTTTCTTTTCTTTTCAACGTATTTCCCTAAATTAACAAAATGTTAAAGTGATTTAAACTTTCAGAGAAGTCAAAAAAAAAAGAAGCCTTTAAGATGAGATGAGATTCAACTTTATTGTCATTACACATATACAAGTATAGAGTAACGAAATGAGGTTTGGCATCTCACCAGAAGTGCAAATAAGCAGAACGTGCAAGAGTCTGTGCTATGTACAGTAATTACAAAATTTACGGATGTAGACTAAAAAAAGTGAATTATTAGGTATATATGGATGGCTGGATTAATGGATAAGAGGCAGAAACCTCGAGCAGAACCCGACTCACCCGTCTGCTGCGACTTTGAAAGAAAGAATTAAAAGTTCTTGTCACTTTTGGTGTGAACCAGCTTTCGATTAAAGTAAAAGTGAACTCTTCAAACATCAGCTCAGACAGCGTGATGAATCAAACCTCTCTGGTTTCTGCCCCTTCTCTCTCTCTCTCTCTCTCTCTCTCTCTCTCTCTCTCTCTCTCTCTCTCTCTCTCTCTCTCTCTCTCTCTCTCTCTCTCTCTCTCTCTCTCTCTCTCTCTCTCTCTCTCTCTCTCTTGTTTCCAGCCCACCCTGTCGAGCATCAGTCGCGTCGTCACTCATGACGTTCCAGTCGATGTCATCCCGCGGAGACTCTGGCACGAGTTCAAAGAGCCGAACATGCCGGACTTTGACGTGAGAGCGACACACACCAAGCCCTTCTCTGTTTGTGCACCTTCAGCGTTTTAAGAAGGACGTATTCTAGAGGAAATGATTTCTTTTTGACATTGTTTGTCAGTACAAGCAGAGGGAAGACGGATGATGTTCACATTTTAAATCTTAACAGAACAAAGACATGTTAGTGTGTCTGTCCTCACAGGTCAGTATCTACCTGCCTCCTCTGAAGACGATGAAGAACGTCGTGGACAGAATGAAGAACCTCTCCAACTTTCTGGTATGGTCACATTCCTCCACAGCTCACCTGAGTCAGGCCGGACTCACACTGAAGGGGTTTGAAATCTTTACTTATACAACCTAATGCATCTATTTATATATATATATGTGTGTGTGTGTGTGTGTGTGTGTGTGTGTGTGTGTGTGTGTGTGTGTGTGTGTGTGTGTGTGTGTGTGTGTGTGGTGTGTGTGTGGTGTGTGTGTGTGTGTGTGTGTGTGTGTGTGTGTGTGTGTGTGTGTGTGTGTGTGTGTGTGTGTGTGTGTGTGTGTGTGTGTGTGTGTGTGTGTGTGTGTGTGTGTGTGTGTGTGTGTGTGTGTGTGTGTGTGTGTGTGTGTGTGTGTGTTTCAGGTACTGGAGGCCAACCTGAACGGAGAGATGAACCTGAAGATTGAGACAGATCTGGTTTCTGTTACTACTCACTTCAAAGACCTGGGAAACCCTCCGTGGGGTAAAAACAAACTGACTGCAGCATGTTTGCTCTGATCTGAGCGATGTCAGTCCAACATTTAGTCTAGTTTTGATCAACATATCGATGCTCTCTGCTCCTCTCCCTCCAGGTGAGGACGCCTCACAGGATGGGGGTCCGTCTCAGAGCAGGGACCCTCAGGCCATGGCCCAGGCGCGGGTGGACATCAGGAAGCTGCAGCAGTTCCTCATGGGTCAGCAGGTCAACCCCAGCAAGGCCATGTGCAGTAAGTCCACCGGCTGTTTGTGCAATTGTGCAACACATGCTCGTGAATAAAATGTTATAATAAACAGAAGCCCTAAGCAGGCAAACATCAGGAAGGTGATTCCTCCAGATTTATCCAGAATTTTGGATTTACCAACTGGAAAAGTTGACAAATGAGACTTAACTTAAGAATGACAATGTTTACTATTCATCCTCTTGTGTGGGCCGCCCAGATACATTTATCATCACTTATTATTTGAGGACAGAGGACTAGATCCTTACTTTAAAATGATGCAGAAAATGCACCAATGGTTCAAAAGAAATGCAGAAAGAAATGGTTTCAACTTTCAAATAATCAAATTAACTTCTCTGCTTTTTTTTTGTATGTTGTGGCGTGCGTGTGTTTGGGGATGGGTTCCTGCCTTTTGTTCTTTCATGATCACATCCCTGGTTCATCCATCATTTTATGTTGTTTATGTAGTGCAGTAAACAACCTGATTAAATTGTATTCTCTCTGACGACATCCTCTCGTCCCCTCAGATATCGTCCACGAGCGGGTCGTCCACCTGATTCTGCTGCATGAAGACATGTCGCTGCAGTATTTCATCCCCGCTGTGGCGTAAGACCAGTGGTTCTCAACTGGTGGGTCAAGACCCAAAAGTGGGCCATGTGGCTGTTTACTGTGTGGGTTTTTGTTCTGTCACATTTCGTTCCCCCTGAGGACCAAACTGCACTATTTTTCATAACATAAATCTGAAAAACTAGACCAGAAGAGAACCTCTGGCGTTGTCGCAGAGCAGAACCACAACAGACTGTGGACCTGTGTGAGGCAGAAAACGACTCCCTGAGACAGCTCACCATGTCTGTGAGTCTGAGGTTGTTTCCAGTCGTCGCTCTGTTCTCTGGAAGACTCGTAACACTGACCTCTGGTTGAAGTACAGACATGCTGGAAAACTTTATCGAAGAGGACAGTGAAAAAGGTGACACTTTGATCCTTGAGAAAATACAAAAAGTTGCGTTTAAGTTGTTTTTCCATGTTGAGATTTTGCAATAAAGCTACAGAGAAATGGACTCTGGTTGTATTTATGTTTCAGACACTTACACAATGGATGTTTGTGTACTTAAAGCAACATTATGAAGGAATTCTGTTTGGTACACTCTGGCGCCCACAGAAGGTCTTTAAATTTAGATTTAGATTTAACTTCATTGTCATTGTGCAGAGTACAAGTACAGAGACAACAAAATGTTTTTGGTATTCTAACCAAAAAAGTGCAGAAGAGCAACAAGGTGCAGTACAAACATGAATAGGCATAAAGTGCAATATGGTAGTAAGGTAATACGGTAAGCTGGTGCAGAGGATACAGATAAGGCTGGTATATTATAGAGCAGCATTGATGGATATAAGATAGTTACAGTATGAACAATATTTACAGTATGGACATTATAAACAATATGCTAATAAATATCAAGTGGAATAGGATATTATATATACAGTCAAGTAGTATAGGAAGTGCAGTGTTCAATGTAAAGTCAAGTACAAATGTACAGTAAAGAATTTAGGAGTAATGCAACTGCACTGTCGTAAAACACATTCAGTGTTTAACCAGCTCTGCTTCTGTCTTCAAAGCTTTCTGTGTTTTAACCTCTCCATTTTTCAAATCATCTCAAATATTTATCCTTGTTTGACCATGTTTCTGGTCCTGGAGCTTATTAGAAAATGCAGAGACTTTTTAGTTCTGGTAGAATCAGTTATATCTGAACCAGTTCACTTGCCCACTTTTATCAATGTGACACCTGTTGGGATGAGGGGCAAAAGGCCGTGTCAAGGTGTCTTAAAAACGCCTTCTTCTTTGGTCAAAACAAAAACAGACCACTCCACACCAGAATCGAAACTTAGAAGTACAACATACTGGATGATGAGTTGTTGACAGAGAAGCCAGCACTGAAACATGTTTCCTTGATGTCTGATGACACAGTAAGGTCATTTTATGATTTAATTCAGTGAATATCTTACATAGTGGACATTTAAAGCCTGTCCTATTTTAACTCTTATCTGGCTTCTTGCTCGGTCATTCTCTCTTTTTCTCTTCTTAGCTTCATCCGTCACCGTCCTCTTCCTCTTAGCCTCAGTCATTGTATCAAACAGGACTGCTTTGTAGCTGAAGACTGCTGTGTCTTCAGCTCCAAAGCCATCCTTTTTAAAGGTCACAACCTTAAAAGAACTAGCTGCACCTTGTTGCCTCTTAAACAACGTGCTTGGAGAAATGCCATTCTCCTTTTTAAAGTTATTGTAGCCTACTATAAGATCGACTTTGAAGTGACTATTTTAAGGTGGAATTGTTACAGATTGCTGCTTTGAAGTCTAAATGTAAACATTTCGGTTACAACTTTAAGACAAAGAGGACGATAGAGTAAATAAACACTGAAAAACAGTTGCAGAAAAAACATCAATTGCTGCACAAGAATTCACAGAAATACAGAAAATAAAGTTTGTATGACCATATTTGAGTTGAAGTGCTGCATCCTGCAAGTGTCTTCTGCAGCCACTAGGTGGTGCTGTAACACAACTCTGTGTCTCCAGGAGACTTAACGTTGAACAATCTGAGCGACCTGTCTTCAATTTACACCAGTAACTGAAAACCACATAAAAACACTTCCTGCACTGATGCAGAGTGTGTGTGTGTGTGTGTGTGTGTGTGTGTGTGTGTGTGTGTGTGTGCGCTGATTTAAAGCAGCAGGAAAAGTTCTCAGTTTTCTTTTAACCTCAGCCTGAACTTCAGGAAACATGAAGGTGAAAATCTCTGTAACATTTGCTAAGCCAGCAACTTTTTAGTCGGTATTTTAGTCCATTAATGTACATTTGAGACGAGCTGCTGCCCCAAACGAGCGACCTCAGATAATTGGCTGCAGCTAACGAGGAGGCTGTGATAAGTGTCCGGCTGTAAGATGAGCAGATAATGTTAACGAGAAGTCTGTGATGGAGAGCCAAGACGCTGCAGAGACGAGCTCACCCCCACGTCAGATGGTCTAATTAGTAATTACAGGATAAAAAAAAAGTGCTCTGCTGTGAGGGTTTGAATATTCAGAGAGAGGCTGTCTGCTCAAGCTGCAGCTGCTCGTCGCTTTCAGAGAGTTCCCTGTGATTCTGCTGCTTTCACATAAACTCAGACAGGCGGTGTCTGCTGTCCTGTCTGTCCTCACTTTAACTGTCCTCCAGAACACTTTATCTCCCATAAATCTGAGAATAAAGAAGTAAATGTGCAGCTCAAAACATGAGAGTATAGTGCAAAAAATCTTACTGCGTATTACATTTTTCCTGATCAAGGGCTCCACGGTTCGATGCACTCTGATCTTTAACGTTAAGATTGGTTATCAATTTGCATCTGTTTATATTTACTGTCCATAGAGTCTATGCTGTGTGAAGGTGCCTCGTCCTCTTTTTGCCCAAATTCTGAGCAAAAAAGACTCAACCTGAAGGAGAAGAATATAGACATTCAGGTGTGAGGCTTCAGCAGGAAGAATGAGAGAGCCGTGGGATCCTAAAATTTCTCCAGACAAGCCGCAAAGTTTGAAGCTAAGCTATGCAGGTCCTGAAGTTTATTTACATTTGGCATTAATGATGATCTTAGATTAGGTCTGACAAGTATATAAATTCACCTCTTCTTTTTTTTCTTTCTGCCATTACAAGAGTTCTAATTCTGTATTTTCTGTGCTTGTCTCCGCCGTTCAGAAAAAGAAGGCGTACTCAGGATGAATCTCTAATAATAAAAACTGGCTGTGTGGGCGAGACGCTGATCTCTGGATGTGTGTGATCGCCCGTCAGGCTGCAGAGAGCCGGTCTGTCAGCCGCTCCTTCTGGTGGATTAATGTTTGTAATCTTCACTCTGACTGCAGGAGGCGATGAGGGCAAAGACAGAGACAAGACGAGAATACAGACACATTTAAGGTTTCTATGTGTTTTCAGAGGGTTATAATGTGAATATTCAGTTGAAAATGTCCTTTAGTCTGATGTATCTCACTTATTTAAAGACAGGTTTAGATTTGAAAATGGTCTAGTGTAAAGCCAGCCTAACCTTTGCATTAGCATAGTGAAGTTCTGGCTTCACTTTAAAGGTCTCTGTTCACGCACAGTGTTTCTTTTTTGTGCAGGCATCACACATTTTCTACACAAAACCAACGCAGCTCAGTGTTTTCAGCACTCGGCGTCTTCAGAATAAAAACACTCACAGTTAAAAAATAGTTACATTTGGGTCTACCGTCAGGCTCGTCAATTTTGCTTCTGCCTCTACCAAACAAAATCAAGAAAGAACCTCTGATATCAGCTTTGTCAGTCACATTGGTGAAGGACAAACTAGGCTAACTTGATTTTTTTAGGGTTCAATTTCCAGGTGGAAGGCTGCTGCTAATGTCTAAATGATATTTCTTTTTCTTGTTTTCTTGTTAGAATTCAGTCAATAAAGGAACACATTCAGCACACAGAGTTATTTAAAACCAACCTAACAGACACTAGAAGCGGTAGCAAGGAAGTTAACTCTCTTAACCTAAAAGCCGGTGAGAAGCGCTCTGAAGCTGAGTTTGGATTTGACACAGGCGCTAACTCTCTATGAGCTGTTTTTCTGCCCTCTAGTGGCCAAAAACCGCTGAGAACAGCTTTAACTATGGTATCACTAACACTGATTTACAGTCTTACTCCTACATAAGTTAACATTAAACAAACACACACACACAAACACACACAAACACAGTGCATATAAAGCTACAAACATTTTCCACTCTTGGAAAACAAGACTCCTCTCTGAGCACTCGCTGCTCTTTTTGTGTTTGCAGAACGTTATTGGCATTTTTACAAATCGGGCAATTATCAACAAGCCCTGGGCCCTGAGCTGTTTTTATTGGAGGCCACGCCGTATATGGCACAGGAGTGAGGGGAGCGGGTGAGGG